CGTGGCCGCCCCAGGCTCCCAGAGAAATTAAAGCCACAGCCGTGCGGCCCGCCAGCCCCTCCCCCAGCGCGCTCCCCTACCCCTCCCCGCCCGCCACACCACGACCTTGGATCCCCAACCGGGCGGCTCCTCCCCTTCCTTCTCCCCCCGCCTTTGCCCCCTAGCCTTCAGACTCCCCTGCTCCAGGGCCCCCTGCTCTTCAGACTCCCCATCGGCCCTTCCACGCCCCTCCCCCGGACTTCCTCCCCCTCCTCCGTTGGAGCCCCCCAACTTCCTGTTTGTGCTCCTGGTGGAAAAAACCTAGGTATGAGTGTGGAACAAGGTGGACAGGACCCCACCCCAGCTGGGTGGGGTGCCAGATTTCCAGGTTGCAGGTGTGATGAGGCAGAGCACCCTCCAACCCCTCCCACGCCCCCCTCCATGGAGAAGGGAGACCAGCGGCAGGGCCAAGGGACACAGGACCTTCCAGCTCTGTTTACAGAGGCAGGCCTGGGGAGAGAACCATAGCGTTGCTACAGGTAACTATTTGGTAGAAGATGCAATCAGAAAACCAGGCAGGGTTAATCAGGTCTCGTTGGGACAGCAGGGAGTAAGACCTACTGCTGATCCTTCAGGGATCTGACGTTTCTGGGGAGGCCAGAAGGGCCCTTGAAGGAATGTATCAGAACCAAGGGCTCCGAAAATAAGGAAAGGAATGGAGTGGTCACTGGCTGTCGTGGAGGTGAGAGTCAGACTCGCCCTATGGGCAGAATGGCTTGCCTGTGGGTCAACAGTTAGACCCCGAACAGACTCCCCACCTGCTGGTGATGGAGAGGAGGGGCTGCATCCATGTATGAGGCCTGGGAAGCGCACCAGGACAGAGCCAAGGACTCAGCAAGGCTGGCATCTGGGCCAGGCCAGGAGGAGGTGAGCCTCACACCGACAGAGCCATTATTTGTTAAAGTGGAAGAACAAAAAATGTTAGGATTTCTCTAGAATTGTCAGAAATGACAATTCTGGGAGACAGCAGCACGTGAATGAGCCCTGGTGGGTACCACGGAAAACAAAGTGAGGGGCTGGCTGGGCAGACTTCTGGAACATTGGAGTGGACTCAGCATTGAATTCCACATGCGCTCGCGTGATATTTGACAAGTGTCTGGACGCTTGGCGGCTCTAACAGAGCACCACAGACTGGGGACTTAACCAGATACTTCTTTCTCCCAAGTCTGGAGGCTGGAGGTCCAAGACCAGGGTACCGGTGTGCTGGGGTTCCACTGAGGGCCACCTCCTGGCCAGCAGCTGGTCACTTCTTTGCTGTCCTGTCTCTTCTTAGAAAGCACTAATCCCAGTGATGAAGCTCCACCCTCAGAGCCTAAGCCCGTCCCAAGGCCCCACCTCCTAACACCATCACACAGGGGGTTAGGATTTCAATATATGAATTTGGAGGACACAAACATCCAGTCGATAATATAGAGCAATATGTTTTCCAACAGACAGGAAAATTTAGCTGCAGAACTGGTGTGGGAGGTCAAGTAGGAACCAATAATGTAGTCAGAGTGGTTGGCCTCCATGGTACAACACAGAAGAAATCACAGACACCATGAAATTGGAAAGGAGGGGGTAACTAGGCAGACCACAGACCTCTGGCAAAACTGAAGGAATATAGAGGAAGTATGTCCTATCTCCTTACAAATCATATGAAAGATAAATTTACCAAAATCTTAGGGATGTGTTCTTTGCAAAAACAATAGGTCAAGAACACTAAGCCGTTTGCTTTGACTTGGAAAACTTCAGATTTCAGAGGCTGCTTGACTCAGAGCAGAGTCCAAAAGCAGCAGGGGTTTGAGAACGTTGCAAACACCAAAATGTTTATCGGTAGAGCATTACATAGATGTAATTAGAGGAACAAACATGGAAGAGAAGATAATTTGGACAGATAAACAATGACAATTGAGAAGACAGCAATTTCAAATGAAGTCACAAAGGAAGTTTACCTCTGTTAAGTTTTAGGTTCAGCTGGACATCAGAGAGATATCTATCGACTGCAGACCTGTTGAGGAGTATAGAAACAGCACCCAAACTGATAGGGTTCTTTGCCTATTTGGAGAAAATACTCTTAACATTGAGGTGTTCTCTTAAAACCGACGTATTGATCACCAGAAAGTTACTTCACAAGGGCCTGGACAGCACTGGTCCTTGATGGATCGGCACAATGTGAAAACACACTCTTCACTCCGGAAGGGAAAGGTGCCGGGCTGGGTGGGCAGGCCCCACAGCAGGGAGAGGACCCTTGGCCACAGAGCTTCCTAGGCTGAGCTGATGAGGGGCGCAGGTGACGTGGACACTTCCTGGCCCTCAGTGCAGCACCGAACAGAATGTGCACGAAGGTGAGCTCCATACTAGCTGGGCGGGTTGACCAGGCAATTCGACAATAGGGCATGACTCCCTGTGGCATTGCCATAGAGTGCGTGCTGTGAGAACAGTCATTATAGGTGTGAGCTGCACACCAACATGGATGGCTACATTTAAAAAAAAAAAAAAAAGCTAAGAAAATACATGTCGGTAAGGATGCAAACTGGAACCCTTGTGTACTGTTGGCGGGAATGTAAAATGGTGCGGCTACGTGGACAACAGTATGGAGCTTCCTCAAAGAATTAAAAACATAATTACCAGCGATCCCACCTCTGGGCACACACCCCCAAGGACTGAATGCAGGGACTGGAACAAATATTTGCACCCCGTGTTCCCAGGAGCATGGTTCACAGCTGGAAGGGGCCCGAGCGTCCACATGGATGAAGGGAGGAAGGGAGGAAGGGAAGAGGGTCTCAGCCCTGCGAGGAGCAGCCCCGAGGGCCTGATGCTGAGTGAAAGAAGCCAGACACAGAAGGACCAGCACTGCGTGCCCCACCTTCGTGAGGTCCCCAGGGCGGGCACCGTCAGAGACGGAGACAAGACAGTGGGCGCCAGGGCGGGGGAGGGGATGGGGACCGAGCTTCAGTCTGGGAGGATGAGAGTCGTGGGGCTGGAGGGTGGGGCTGGCTGCACAACATAGCGAGTGTGCTGGACGCTGCTGAGCTGGGTGCTTGGTGGGGGAGAGGGCTCATTTTTTAATGTATATTTTAATTTAAAAAATCTTAAAAAGGTATGAATCTGTTTTCCAAGGGCCCCTAGTGAGATGAGAGAGGGCCCTAATCTGAGGAGCGGTCCCAGGAGACCCTGCGGGAGACACTGCCCTGTGCTCATGGTCAGTGAGGCCATTCCTACCATGGTGTGTTCATCCCACATGCCCAGAACCAAACCCAGGACACTAGCATAAAACACGCACGTCACAGAACAGGGTGAAGACACGGCTCACCCCACTGACCCACAGGAGAACCACAGACGAGGGGGAGGCCAGCAAGAAGGGACTTGGGAATCTTCAGGGCTTTAGCAACAGCAGATTTTTATCTGGCCCAGAACAGCCAAAACACCTCCCCTCCCCAGCCTGGAAGACACTAAGGATGAGCAGAGAAGGAACGTTCAAATTCCTTACTCCGACATAAGAGTCCTGAGGAGGTAGCCATGGGATGCACCCCACTGGCAACGTGCACAGCAAGGCAGAGAGTTTTTTCTTGGTACCTCAAACTCAATGATTTCCATAGATTTCATTCGGTCACAAGACAGCCTTTCTCCAAGGCAGAGGGTCCCTGGTGACTCGGGTGATGCACACACCTCATGGCATCATACCTACCCCTGGGGGGTGTGCCATGTGCCCCATCCTGGGGCTCTGACCTAGGAGCAGGGGGTGTGTGGGTAGGTCTGCAGGCTGGAATCACCCCATAGCAGGTTTTTGGCAGCTTGGAGACCCTCAGGGACCACAGCATGGACCGCCAAGCAGAGGCAAGTGTGTCTCAAGTGAGGTGACATCCAGTCACTTCTGTGGTTTTGGTCTCGCAGAGCTGCCAGGACCTACCATCAGTGCACAGCTTTTGGGGTCGGGGAGACCACTCCTGCTCCCACTTGGGGATCCCTGCAAGCCAAGGGTCCAACTGGGGTCTCTTCTGTCTCCAGAAAAGGACCTGGGGGCAATGCTCCATCACCCGCCCCAGAGCCCCAGGGACTGCTGGAACCTTTAACACAAGGCCAGCAAGAACACCCACCCCACATTTAGCGTTGTGGCCCAGGGCAACCACCTGAGTCTCTGAATGAGCCCCTACTCGAGCAACTGTATTGTTATGCTGGCCAGGTGCCCTGGGGCTACTTCCTTATCTCCCTGGGGGCGGGAGCACCTCCCAGGCCCACCCAGTTGTCCTTTTGGAGCCACCGGTGAGAGGGTGGGGCCACAATTACTATTTGGAAAATGCTCCCAGGGCGGTTTTGGTCAAGTCCTCTCACAACTGCTGGGACCTGGTCCTTGGCCAAAGTCGAAAGTCTCAGAGCCTCTATCCGGCTTGTCCCGGGCCCACCTAGAGCAGGCGCTTCCCTGCAGACAAAAGGAGCCCCTTCCCTGGTGTGCCTTAGTTCTCCTGTTCCAGCCACACCTGAGGAGTCCTATTTCCCGGACAGGGCTCGGCAGAGAGGCTCAGGCCTGCCTGGGGCAGAGGCAGGACTCTGGGCACACCGTACCTGCAGCCCAGGTCAGGCTGCGGCAGCATAGTAGAGGGGACCCCTGACAACACCCCCCTCCTGCTCAGCAGGGCTGCCAGGGAAGGTGCGAACGGTCACCCACCAAGGGCTGGTGCACAGGGTTTGGGAGACCTTGGGAAAGCCAGCATGTTACAAGGACCCCAACTTTGGGTTTCCCGTGCTCTTGGAAACCGGCCTCCTAGGATAGGTCCTGGCCAGCATCCCAGCATACCCCAGGGCCCAGGCACCCCTGGCTGTCCTACCTAGCACAAGACGTACACACGTTCACAGAATTAAGTCGGGAATAAACAATCTTTTTATTAAACGTACCTAGATTTGGAGTTGGGGAGGGTCGCAGGATGGGGTCAGGGCAGAGGGAACACGGTCCTACAGAACGGACCGCTGCAGGCCAGGCCTCACTCTCGCCGGTCGGCCAGGACGCCTCGCTCGGCGGCCGCGCTGCCTAAGATGAAGCCCACCGCCAGGGACACGGTCTGGTCGAAGGAGCCGCGCAGCTGCTCCACGTGCTGGTTCAGGGTCAGCAGCTGGTCGCGCAGCGGGCCCAGGATGGCCACGATGTCGCCCAGGTGCCCCAGGGTCTGCAGAAGGGCGGCGTTCAGCGACGGGGGCGCGGACTGCGGGGACGCGTGGTCCTCGGGGCGGCTGGACGGAGAGTCGGGGTCCTCCCGGATGGTGTCCAGGGCCGGTGGCGGCGGGGATCCCGGGGCGCGGAAAGGCGCGTGGTCTTCGGGGCGGCCCGGCGCTGGGGCGACCGTGGAGAGCACCGTCGGGGAGCCGGAAACTCGGGGGGTGTCCGCAGACTTGGGCGGGGTCGGGCTGAACCTGAGCGTCCAGGCCGGGTCTGCGTCGTGGTCGCGGGCCGCGTCTGGAACGCGGCGGGGCCGTCGGGCCAGGCTCTGGAGGAGCGCCCGCCGCCGCCCTCACGCCCCCGGGGCTCCGATCCGCCCCTTCCCCCCCAACGGACGGCGTCCAAGGAACCCTCGGCCCTCTCGCGTCCCGGGACCCCGCCCCCCTTACCTGGCTCGGCGGGTGAGAGGGGCGCGGCGGGGGCCGGGCGGCGTCCGCGCGGGGGGCGCCCGGGCCCCGGGGACCGGCGGCGGCCGCGTCGGTGTCCGTTGTCGCCCAGCAGCCCCATGAGCTCGCGGATCTGCGCGTCGAAGGGCCCGGGCGGCTGGCCCTGAGCGTCGCGGAGCTTGTCCTTAAGGAACTTGTAGCGGCGGCGGCACTGCGCGGGCGTGCGCCGCACCTGCTGGCGGGCCAGTGCGGCCGACACGCGGCGGTAGGTGGGGAGCGCCTGGCGGCGGTCCAGCAGCAGCGCGCGCCACACGGCCGGCTGCAGCAGTGTGCCCAGCAGCAGCTCCGTCTCGCGGGCGCTCCAGGGCGTGCGCTGCGCCGAGCCCGGGGACACGGGCGAGCCAGGGAGTCCGGGGGACGCGGGGGACGCGGGCGCCGCCAGCGCGCCGGGCGAGGCGGGCCGCCCGGGCGGGGTCCCCGGGGCGCCCCCGGCCGGCCGCAGCTCGGGGTCCGGGCTGGCTGGCGATGCGGGCGCGGGGGGTGCGGGCGGGGGCGGCCGCCGCGGCCGGAGCAGCATCCCGGGGACCGGCGGGGCTCGCGGGGTCGGGGCCGCGGCCCGAGAGAGGCCGCCCACACGCGCTCGGAGGGTGCGAGCTCGCTGTAGAAGGAGCGGGAGCCCGAGCCGGCGCGGGTCTACGCCGCCCGCCCCCGCGCGCCCCGCCCCGCCCCGCCCCCCCTGCCCGCCAACTTCAACTTGGGCCGGCCCGGGCCCTTACCGGGAACAACCCGCTAAACAAGAGTGTTGTACTTTTTAAAAAGTCTTTGCATTGAGGTACAGACGGGTCCGGCAGCTTGCCTCAGGCGCGCAGGGGTCGATTCGGTTTTACGCATGTGCAGTGCCCTTTCACCGCCGCGCAGACCAAGCCGTGGAACATTCCAGCTCCAGGAGGAGCCCCCCCCCCGCGCCCCTCCCTTTTGCCTTAGGTGCTTCCTGGCCTGTGGTTCGCAGAGGCGGTCGTGTGCGGGCCCCGCCCCTCCCCCCTGCGGCGGTGCTGGTGTGTGCGCGGGAGGTGCGGTCGCTGCTGCGTGCAGCCCGCAGAGGGTAGGACATGCTGAGTTACGGCCAGTGTTCAGAATTGGTGTCATAATTCACACACACTTCACAGAAAACACTGCTTTATTCTGATAAAGAGTACCTACAGCTTACGTCATGACTAATAGAATATTGAGCATTACCCCCTGCGATTAGGAATTAGGGTGGTGCCCAGCATCACTGATTCTATCGAACGTTATTCTAGAAGTCTAGCCAGAGCAATAAGACAAGAAAAAGGAGTAAGGTTTATAAAGATAGGAAAGGAAGAAGTAAAAGCATCGTTATTTGCAGGTGATATGATTGTAAACATGGGAAATACAAAATAGTCTGCAAGCACATTAGTAGAATTAATAAATGAATTTAGCGAGGTCACTGAATATAGGAATGAACAAAAATCAATTGTATTTCTGTATACTAGGTCTAGTACTTTTTACAACTTCTTAGTTTCGGACAAGTTTGGGTTTACAGCCAGGTGGCAGAGAAGGTGCTGGTGTCCCTGTGTGTCCCTTCAGATGAGCGTCTCATGGGACCGTGGCACCTTTGTCAAAGCTGAGACATTCCTGTTGGCACACCACCGCCGGCTGAGCCACGGAGCGCAGTAGGGTTTTTCCAGGTTTCCCCGGGGTTTTGCACCGATGTGTCTTTTCTGCCCCGGGACCCGGTCCAGGGCACTGCTCTGCGTTTGGTCGTCCTGCCTCCTTTGCCCCCTCGGGACCCTGGCCGTTTCTCACTCTTGTTCTTGACACTTGGAGGAGACTGTTGGGTGTTTTGTGGGTGGCCCTCTGCTTGGGTTTGTCCGGTGCCTTCCCATGATCAGCCTGGTTATGGGTTTTTGGGAAGAGGAGCTAGGAGTTCCAGCAGTGCCCGCCATCTCTCCACTTCCCCTCCCTGCCCTGCAGCCGGGGCCCGTCACTGGGTGCATGCCACCCTTCGGGGGGCACCTGCATGTGTTGTTTGGGATTCTACTGACCAGCGGCCTCTGGGCTCTGTTCCCAGGGTGCGGTCCCACGCTGTCGTGTTTAGGGCTCAGGTCGCCCAGCTCTTCCCCTCTCCCTCTTGTCCTGTGTCCTTCCGACATGCCCCCCCACCGGTCTTTGCTTTGTGGCACTACCAGATACTTCTGCTTCATACTTTCTCCACTCCAGCCCTAGAATCAGCCTTTCTGCCATTTCTCCAAAAATCTCTGGTCCCTTTTTTTTGGACAATGGTATCTGCAACCCAATATCTGGATATGGGGTGTGCCTGATGCTACTGGGGTGTCACTGTTTCCAGGCCACCGGTTCTCGGGGAATAGTTTGCCCCCCAGGGTATATTGAGTGATGTCTGGAGACATTGGTTGTCACAACTTGGGGGTGCTGCTGGCATCGGGGGGTAGAGAACGGAGGTGCTGGGAGCCGCCCCCGCAGTGCCCAGGGCCGCCCGCAGAGATGGTGCGATGAGAGCTAAGCCCCACGCGGTCCTGCGGAGGGTGTGCTAGGAAGCACATGTGTGTACCAACCCACATGTCCACACACACCTAGCCTCCCCACCAGCTTTTCGGCAGCTTTGTTCTCTGACAGCAGGAGGCCGGCAACCTTATCTATGACGTACTTATTGATGAGCCCTCGTGTGTAAGGATTGCTCATCTGGACTCTGGTGAGAAGTCTGTCCCCTGACTGGACTGCAGTCCTTATGTGGTCTTGGGCCTCGCCCTTTCCCTTCAAACCAAATGTTTCCCATGGTGAAGTAGGTCAGCCCCCTAAAGCAGTGGGAGGTGGGTGAAGAGAGAGGGCAGCCCCTCCCACAGCATGCCCCCAAGACCCCCCCCCCCCACCTATAGAGCAGGCTTCAAACAGCAATAGCGGCCATAGGAAGCGACCCCAAACTGCCCCTGTCTGCAGGGCCATTGTGGTGGGGGACCAGCTGACGGGGTCCCCTTTCACAGGCCAGAAGCCCCTCTCAGAGCAGGGAGCGCATCCACCCCACAGCACGCAACGAACAGACGGACCACTGAGTTGTTTAGCACAGCATAACCCAGCACTCTGAGTGGTGGCCACGGCTGACGCTGTTTGGTTATGCTGGTGATTCTGTGGTCGGACCCGGCACCAGGGTGCAGGTGGGCTGCTGGGCACTCCCTCCTGACTGGGCACCACTTCCCAGGCCAGAGCCTGGCTGCCCGGGGCTCCGCAGGCCTTCTCCAGAAGGCGGCTCATGGGCCGGCTGGCCAGACATCTCTCTCTCTCCATCTCTATTCAGCCCACTAGGGCTACCTTGGGCTTGTGCCAGCATGGTGGTCTTGGGGGTAGTCAAACATTGCACATAGTGAGGGCTTCCCCCAGAGCCTCAGTACACTGAGCCAGCCTCCATCTGGCGCAGGAAGGGACTGCACAGGGTGGGTGGGGGGGAACCTGGGAAGCAGGGCTCGTTGTGGGGCCTAAGGGGCTGTCAATTCACCTAAAGAAAAACCCATTGATTTGATTAGACCAGTGAAGTGGAGGGAGACCCTGGTCTTATGGCCTTTCTCAGGAAGGAAGAGACACCAGGGTTTAGTGATTTTAAGGTGGGTGAGGACAGAAATCACCCACCCACCCACAACGGGGACACCAGAACCACCTAACGGTGGCTGCTACTGTCCAGTGACTTTCCTCTTCTGGGACTCTCCTGCCACACAGAGGGCTTCATCATTCATTACGGGGATGTTCCCAGATAATTCTGCCACAGAAAACATCAACCATTTATGTCCCCAAATTCTTTGAACCCCTGGCCTTCCACCTCTCCTTTTGCAGTGCCCACCAATCCTAAGCTCTTCTATCAAGACCCTTCGCAGTGGGTGCCTCAAGGAACACCCCTGCCTTGCCCTGGGGAGGGAGGGGCTGGCTGTCCAGCCCTGAGGCTCTGGGTGAGGTTGGTGGCCTGCTGCAGTGTGGGGCCTGCCACGTGGGACCTGGCTGAGGCTGGGCAGAGTCTGTGGCAGAGTAGCTTTGGGGCTGTGGTGCGGTGGGGCCTTGGTGGCTCAGCGGTTTTGGGTGGTTTGCAGGTAAACGTTTCCTGCAGCAGAAGGAGTCTGCTTGCTCACAGGCCCGGGGGTTCCGGGGTTCGGTTCTGGTGGGCCCTGAATTAAGCGAATCGGCAGATCTGGCCCTTGTCCGTGCCGCCCAAGGACACGGCTGTGGCTAGGAGTTCTTGTCCCCTCTGCCCTCAGGAGCACCCCTGGAGTTGTCTCTGGCCACGAGGGAGCCCACCCTGACCCCCCAAAGCAAGTGTCACTTTGGAGACAAACAAAATAAGGCCTATGGAAGCCGTCGTGGTAGAAATGATTTTATTTAGAAATCTGTGCCAGTGACATTCGGGCGACATGCAGACAGTCGTGCGTAAGCTGAAAGCCCAGTCACTTTCCCGTGAACAAATCGTTACGACTGGAATGTGTATTTGCGCCAGACACTAACTCAGTTTCAGGCTCTGTGACACTACCTTTGTTAAATTCAGAATCCGGGAATGTAGGTGTTTAGTAGAACATAATCCTCATACAAAAGCCGCCCCCCGGCATCTGCATGGTGGGAAGCACTGAGTCCCTCTTCTGTTCTGGATGTCTTGGATGAGTTTATGTGGGAAACACATCTTGACATTACAGACTCAGCATTTTATCACAAGTAACAGTTTTCCCAGAAATACCACTAGCTGGTTGTTCTAAAGAATCACTGATTCTGAAACAAGAGAACCACCTCCGGTCTCCCAGCAATTTGCAGCGTAAGAACGTTGGTGCCCAGGATGGTGCCAGGGGTCTGAGCTCCCTGTCGTGAGGGATGTGACTGCACCTTCCTGGTCCCAGTACATCTGGCCGAGGGTGTCTTCCACCTGCTGAGCAAATGCCCAACACCGGCTGTTTGGAAACAGAGCCCCGGGGAAGAGCTTGGAACCATCCAGGCAGCACACGTCATCTCCTCCACTGCTTGGACAAAGCACTAGTGAAGGCAAGCGGCAGGAGCCTGGGCATAGGTGTGCGCAGCGCATGCATGGCTGCTGAGGCAGATGGGGCATGGGCCCCAGGCCTGAGGCCCCCAGGCCTCCAGGTGGGACTGGGGGATGCTCTCAGGGCCCCTGAGGCCTGGAGTCTGCTCTGGAGCTGCTGTTTGTGACCTGTGTGCTTTGCTAGGAAGCAGAGCCTTGCAGGCCTCACCGGGAGCTGTTCTAAGTGGTGGGGGTTGGCAACGGTGGAGGGCACACGGGGCCACGGGCACTGGGGGCTGCCAGTGTGGAGCTGTGAGGTGCTCACCAGCAGCAGGAAGCTGGGCCGGGACAGAGACCCCATCAGGCCTGCTGGGGCAAGGGCTACAAAACTCAGGCACCCCCACATGGGCTGGAATGGGGGTGAGATGAGCTGGGCCCCTAGAGGGGGGTCTGGAAGGAGGGGTCAGGGGAAGTCTGGGGTGTGAGGAGAGGTCTGAGGAGTGTGGGGGTAGGTTTGGGGGTGTCTGAGTGGAGGGGGGAGGTCTGGGCATGGGAGTGTGGACCCAGGTTGGGGCTTGGGCCACTGGGGAGCCTCAGGGCCCCAGTGGAAGGTTTTGGAAACCCCTGGAACCTGCAATTGGCATAGGGGTCAGAGGTCATTTTGGTCCTTGGTTGCTGGGCAGACATAAGCCAGACTCATGAGGACACTGCTCTGATCAGGGCGGGTGGGTGTGGGTTTGGGGGCGGGACCCCTGGGGACTTGGGGGAGAGCGGTGTGCCTCTGAGAAGAGTAAATGGTATGTGGCTCCTGGGGGTTTGCTTATTCTACTTCTGTTCTAATCTTTAAATATAGTTTTACACTAACAGAAACACCCCGACCTCCACTGAAGCCTGTCTTCTCCGGCTTAGCCAGGCCCTTGAGCCTCCCCCTCCTGTGCCCCCCGGGCACGTACCCCGCCACCCAGGCTGAGCCCCGTGCCCCACACTGTGCCGTTGGGCTCCCTAGTCTACAGCGGCAGCCGTGTGCTGCTGGGACCTTCTGGGCCTGGGGCAGCAAGCGGCGCCTCCTTTCTGCCCAGGTCTGTCCTTGCTTTGGAATCCCCACCACACCCACCGCCCCCGTTACTGAAACGTGGCCTTCATTCTCCGTAACTTGTCCTGGATCTTCCGGGAGTGCTTTTCGCTGGTGATCTGGTGGAAGGAGGCCCTGTTGTCTGCCGCCAAAATGGAAATGTCGGCCCCGCTGAAGCGTGCGATTCTTTGCTTGAGGTAGGACTGCAGCTTGGGGTCGGGCGCGAACGTGTAGGGGTTCTCCTGGAATGCACGCACCTGGCTCACCACCTTGGCTATGTTTCTGTTTGGGGGGGGGATGTGGACTGTTAGTCTGCACGAGCCTGTGCTTGCGAATTCCCAGCACATCCTGGGAAGTGTCTAACCCAAACCTCTCCCAGTACAAACCCTGGGGTGAGTTTTCTGTATTTATTCACAAGGCCCAACCTCATTTCAGTACTCAGGCCTGTCTGCTCACCCGCACTCCCATCCACCCCTCTGCTCATGCCTCTGTCTGTTGGTCCATCCAGCCACTCTTCAGTCCATAAACATGTGCTGAAAATCTGTGTTGGGCCTGGTTGGTGCTAAGGGTTCTGACATGAATACACCCCAGTGTCAGCCCCCGAGCGCCCATGGAGGAGATAGAGGAGATAGATGCAGGGTCACTTAAGGGTGTACTCAGGGGTCACTGGGCACATGTTTCTCCCCAGCTCTGTGTTCAGGGACATCATGATCACGGCTCAAGAACCACCATCACGAAAGTATTTACACCCTGGGCATTGGCCAATGCTGTGCACCGGGACTCACTTCCCCGGAAAGCGGGAAGTTGGTGACCACACACCCCTGGGTGTCATCCAAGAAAGCGGGGACCACGAAGCAGAAGTCGGTAATTCTGCCTGAGGGAGGCTGTGGACTTCACATTCTCATCCTGATTGTGGATGAAGAGACAGCACCTCCAGAATGAAGGACTGCACTTTGGTCCATGCGGGGCGCCTGGGTGGCTCAGTCGGTTATGCGCCTGACTCTTGATTTGGGCTCAGGTCATGATCTCCAGGTCCTGAGATCGAGCGCCACGTGGGGGCTCTGTGCTGGGCATGGAGTGTGCTTGGGATTCTCTCTCCCTCTGCCCAGCCCCCCACCCTCCCGCCCATCTCTCTCCCTCAAATAAAGACAAACATGCATATATATCCAGACCTAAAACAGAATGAAGAAGAGTCATCATTAGGCCTCTGCCCATGCTCCTTCGGGATTGTGGCCTTCCCTCTTGTTAGTTTCCATTTTGCTGACACGGACCAGTGTGCCTCTTAAGGAACTTTTTAAGTTGGTGACCAAAAGGAGGCTGGAACCACTGGGCTGCAGGTCCCCTGGGCTGTGCCTGCTGAGATCTGCCCTTGACCCTAAGGGGTGTGCAGCTGGACCATGGCCTGACCAGCCTCACCCGTCTGTACATGTGGGTGATGCAGAGAGGTGGAAGGGGAACAGGTGGGTCCAAGGCTGTGGGGGTGCAGGCCTCTGGAGAAGGGCTGGCCCAGGCCTGTGAGATATGGGGGGGCATCTCCGATGAGGCCTGGAGCCCCCAGGGGAGGAGGGCTGGAGGGAGCTTGCGGCTTCCGAGGCAGAGATGAGCATGGCCCTCTTTGTCGGGGGTCACCAAGGTGGTTTTCACAAGCAGCCCCCAGTCTGCACCTCCCAGGTGTGTTGGGCCCACAGGGGTGCTGGGCAGGGGAACCGTGGCACCACCAGAGCAGGCTGAAGACTGGCCACGGGTGCTGTGCAGACAGTGCTAGGGCGAGGGGCCCATGGGGTCGTTGGGAGCATAGCCCCCTCACCTGAGCTTGCTCCACCTGTGGGCCCCATTGGTCATGGTGAAGCCCCCTGTCTCCAGCTGCTGGATGTGCATGGCCAGGAGGCGGGCTGAGGGCAGCGTGGGCTGGGCCCGGAAGCGCCGTCCTTCCATCAGACACAGGCTGTCACTCTTCAGGAAGACCTGAGGACCCAGCCAGGGGTGTGGGGAGGGGGAGACGGATGAGATGTCAGTCCAGGGCACTCAGCTCAGCCAGTCTGGGTTGGAGCTAGTACTCCCCCTGCAAGGGGCTACACAGCAATGATTTACATCCGATCCTCACTGTGCCTTGGATGATTGGATCGGGGTCAAAAGTCTGGATGTCTGAAGCCTGCAGACACCAAGGGAACGTGGACACCCATTGGAAAGCTACACACTTCCTGGCACCAGAAATGGCAAACTTGTTTCCTAACTGACTCTCTCTGGGCTCCAGAAAATAGCCGGGTGACCCAGCTGCCCCAAGGAGGCCAAGACCCAGGCTGCCCGGCTTCAGGGACCTGTTTCTGGTGTCGACTGAGGACACACGCCAGCCCTCCCGCCCCATGGAGAGCTGTTTGGGGCCTTGGCTGCAGTCTGCTCCTAGGGCCTCCTCCGGGGAAATGCCCGGCCTTCCAGTGTTTCCTCATTTGTGGCCTCAGGAGGCTGCAAGGAGGCGAGCGGGTCAGCTAAGCTCAGTTTGGTCCTCTGGGCACCTGTACCCTGTGCACTGGCCCCGCAGTCTGTGCCCTGTGGGGAGATGGGCAAGACTGGGCCAGCTCTGGGTGGGGGTGTGGGTGGCTGTGTGGTCTGGGGGCCGTGATGCAGGCTCTGCCTGGTGAGCCCCCCAGAGATGTGCAGAGCACGTCTGCAGGGGACGCCCCAGGTGGACACAAGCTGCCAGAAGCTCATGCACAGCACCAGTACCTCGACGGCTTTCAGCTCTTCCATGACCTCCGCTATCTTCGCGGGTAAAATTCTCCAGGCCTGAAATTAAAGCACAGGTGAGCCCCCTGCGGCCACGGTGCCCACATGCCCGCCGTGGCCAGTGGCTCTCCAGGGTGACTCACAGGGGACTGCCTCACAGCCAGGTGTTCCAGGCCTCCCAGAATCTGCATGGCTGTCGCGAAGTTCCTCTGCTCATAGGAAGATTTTGCAATCAGCAAAAATTTGGACAGCAAATTCACCTGCAACTGAAACCAGAGAAGGACATACTCAGGGTCCTCTGATTTAAGACAAGCTGGTAGAGAGCCTCTGAGGACCCGTCAGAGTAACCCAGCGCCAGGCACACGGGGCAGTGAGGGCCCCACCACCTGTGTGGGAAGCAGGTGGTGAGTGGGCTTAGGTCTGGGGGGCGGTGGCCATGATGGGGCAGGAGGACAGGCATGACTTGAAAACACAAAACAGAAAGGCAAGTGCCCCATAAGCATAAAGATGTGAAAAGAAGTCAACCTCACTCTTCAAAAGCAAAGTCACTCCCAAGACAAACCTCTGCTCTAGGAGCAGGACAAATGGGGGAGGCGGCATAGCTTCAGGACCGGAAGGGCGCCCGGCTGGGGAAGAGAGAGCCGATGCCTCTAGTGACCGTCGGGAAACAGACAGGCAGCTTCTCGTTTTCTGCCTGGCGGAGTCTACTGCTCCCCGGGTTTCAGAGCCTGACTGGTGGGGATGGGGTGGGTCTGGTTCCACGGGTCAGCAGATTTGACGGGAACACCCCACAGGGTTCTCATTCCTGACGGGGCACACCCTTTCAGAGCTGCCTCACCCTATGAACTGTCACCCGGGCCGGGGGCCACCCTTCAGGTGGAGACAGTGCCTGTGGGTCCCAACCACATGCCTCTGCGCTGGGCTTGACCTTGTCTGCGCAGATTCCGATGCTCTCAAGGGTCACACAGATGGAAGCTCATTCACCCTGGTGGCCTCCCATTGTCCAGCTGCGTGCCTCTTAGAGGATCTTGAAAAACATTTACTCGCTTATACTTTTTAAGTCGACATCCCAATTTTTTCTTCATATATTTAAACAGATGCAAAATATGTACTTTCCAGCACTTTCAGATAAAACTGTTCCATCACATTTTTTTTTAAATGTTTGTGGTAAAAAATGCGTAATATAAAATCTACTCTTGAACCATTTTTAATATAGCTCAGTAGCGTTAACTACACTCTCCTGCTTGTGTCACAGCTTAGAACTCTGTTTTGTGAAACTGAAACTGCAAGCATCAAACCCCTGCTCCCCAGCCCTCGCCCCCCAGCCTCTGGCGCCCAGCCTTCTACTTTCTGGCTGTGTGATTTCAACCACTCCAGGGGCCTCCTACAGTGGAATCAAGCAGTATTTGTCTTTCTGTGACTGGCTTATTTCCCTGAGCGTAATGTCCTTTAGGTTCATCCATGTTGTAGCCTGTATCAGGACTTCATACCTTTTTAAGGCTGAATGATATTCCACAGTACAGACAGACCCCATTTTGTTTATCCATTTATCTGTGGATGGACATTTGGGTTGCTTCTTTCTTTTAGCTGCTCTGTTCTATCACTTGAAAGACTATCTGATTAAACTGAAATCCAGTTTTGCCTTCAAACCCACCATTATTCATCTAAAAAGAAAAGTCAGCAAGCTTTTCTTTAAGGTGACAAGCTTCACACCGTTTCTTTTTCTTCTTCACCTGTTTTTCCATCCTGTGCCCCCAAGGGTGTCATCTGCATGGACTGCACAGTTACCACCAAGGACATTTAATGACTGCCCATTGTATTCTCTGGCTCAAAATTCTGAATTTTAGCCACTTTCTTGACAACAGTGTACAAAAATGAAAGTCTTCTGGATTGTTCTGACATTACAGTAAGTAACACACAATATGTGAAACAACATATCAGAATGTGACAAACACCTTTGTCCAAGGTCCACGTGCAGTTTCATTAGAAACACGGCTCCCACTCTTTCTCCCGTTGGTTCCTACATGTGGGTGTATTGCTCATTTGAATAATTCTGTCCTTTGCTTACAGGGATGTGGGAGCCCTTTCACGACAGTGGAAGGAGTTCCGCCCCGGTGACACCATGAGTCCTTCCAAGCTGGGGGCCAACAACTGGGTGTGCATCTGTTGATCTGTTCCATTGTGCTGACCACGCAGGCCTGTAAATGTGTCATGTCTCTCTGTGTTGACCTGCTGGGCAGGGAACCTGCAGACTCAGGACACAGAGCCCATCTTCTCTCTTGGGCTGGGAGGGGGCCTGTCCTTCCTCTTTTTGGGGCCTCCGATGTAGGAATACTCCTGGGAAGCTGAGGTCCATGAGGTGACTGTTGACTGTCCTTGGTCAATTCTCATTGGAAGTCCTTGTGAAGCCCAACCACACAAGCCCCTGTTTGAAGACCCTGATTTAGGGAAGCCACATCTTGATATCACTCATGATATCTGTAATGTTGTGGATTAGAACAAAGTGGGTAAAGCCCAGGCTCCCTGTTCCCACATCCTGGCAGAAATGAGGATGGGTCAGTCTGTTGGCTAACAAATCCCTAAAGCTTGAAAATTCTCCCCCAAGGGGGAAAAAGTAGAAAACTCTGCATATATTAATGGGCCTTGGGTTGCCCTGTGGGTTTGGGGTGAGCGGAAACATGGGGGAACATTAGAAAGACAAATTGCAGAGGCTGTTAATGCAGAAATAGACTTATCTTCACTTTGCTGTCTGATGAGGAGGTGGTGGCCTCTGCAGCCTCTGGGGCAGCTGGGGCAGAACAATGGTGTCCTCCCACCCCTGAGCGCCCCCTGTGATGCTCTGCCCAGGGGCAGCAGCAGAGGGGATCATGCTTGAGGAGACCTGTTATTTGGGCCAGAGTTTGCTTTAAGGGAGCTGCCGCCTGTGGAGTGGTGGGTGTCTCCCCACGGGAAGGGGCTGCGTTACACAGGAGGAGCCCTCGTGGTCCCAACCGTCATTCCTCCGTGTGCCAGTGTGGCCTCTTCATGTGGGCAGGACTCTAGTGATGCTCCCTCCCACTGCTTGCCTCAGGTAGCAAGAAACTGGAGGCCTTGGCAATAGGGTGTTGACTGGGTGGAGGTGCAGATGCACTAGGGACTGCGGGGCTCTGTCCTCCCTCAACCCTCCTGAGTGGGTGGGAACCTGGAAGGAGGCGCTGGCTTTGAGGCAGGTGACTGTCCTTGGCCTGCCCAGTACCCTGCCTGAAGCAGGTGAGTGAGTTCAGGCTGAGATACCCACAGTCTAGGCCAAGAGAGGCCCGAGAACAGTAAGAGCTTGACCTTGACTGGACCGCTGACCTGTGTTTCATTTATTCCACAGACTGGCTGAGAACACACACTATACTCCTGCAGGGGATGTGACAGTGACAGGGAATGTGACTAAGTTGGCTCCCACTCTCAGAGAGTTCAGGTTAGTGGGACACTTGGGAGTCACAGTTCCCAGCCCTGGGACCTGGCTCAGGCAGGAGTGTGGAGGGAGCCCCCTAGAGGTGCACTCTGAACCCTGAGTGTGAGCGTGAGAGTGTATGAGGGGCTGCGTGTGAGCAGGATGGTGTGAGTGTGGGGGAGAGAGGGCATGTGTGTGACAGGGAGTGTGTGTCAGGGAATCTGTGAGAAAATCTATGTGGGTAACAGGGACTATTTAGGAGAGTTTCTGTGTGTCAGAGAGATAATGTATGTAAAAGCAATAGTGTGTGTGAGTGAAAGGGAGTGTGTGAGTGTAAGAGGGAGCACGTGTGTGAATGTGAGGGCGTATGTGTGTGAGAGGGAGTGTGTGTCAGGAGGGTATGTGTGTGAGGGAATGTGTGAGAGGGAGTGTATGAGTGTGAGGGGGTATGGGTGTGAAGGGCTGTATTTGTGTAAGGGGTGCATGTATCAGAGTGTATGCACACGTGTGACTCTATGTGTGCACACACGTGTGTGTGAAAGTTCCATGGAGGAGAGGCTTGTCATGGTGATCAGAGCCAGTGTGCATCTGCAATAAAGTGAAGAGCCATGTCAGGCTGGGGGTGTGACAGGCGGCACACACTGGAGAGCTGGATGGTGTCTGACGTCACCACCACCAAAAGCTGTGACACTACTTTTATGCTTTGCCTTGGGTTGAGTCTGGATTCCCTGCACTTGGGAGAACATTCGACTGGGGTTCCACAGAAGGCACCACGTGTCCATGCGGCTCTACCCCAAACCCTTCTCTGAGATGGGAGCTGCTGAGGCACCAACCTTGGAGGTGTGGCTGGTCACAATTTCAGCTGCCACCCAGGTGCTGACGTCATCTGCACTTCTCAAAAGCTGTAATAGGTACTTGTCCTGCACGTAATTGGGCAGAAATAAGCTGCAGGTTTTGGCTGACAGAGACTCGGAGGAGCTGGCTCTGGAAGAGACACAGGTGCACATCACAGCGAGGACGTGTGGAGGTGGCCCTGCCCAGCCCTGGGGTTGCAGGGGGCTCTCCAGAGCCACGTGGGGCCGGCAGGATGGGCTCTGTGGAGAGTGGAGGGCCTGGCTCCGAGGTTGTTCATGACACCAGCATCTCCCTTTGGCCACTAGTGTCCATGAGGCACTCAGGTGAAGCCCCCAAGACCCTGCCACCAGCCATCTGTCCCAGGACTCTGGGATGACACCCGACAGGTGAACACTCACTTGGGGATGGCCATACTTTTGTCCATGACGCCCAGGGCCCGTGAGTTTAAGAAGTGGACGGGATGGCACTTTTGAAATAATTCCTGTCAGAGACAAGGACACAGATGCTCAGTGCTTTCCCAGGGGCCTTGTGGACAAGGCAGCATCTCTAGGGGATTCTCTACCTGCCCAGCCGTGATGACAGCAGGTAGGGTGACTGGAGTCACCATCACTACCGTTGCCTGCCAAGTGACGCAGGGCCCAGGATGGTGGGGAAGGGGACACCTGGCGGTGGGGCTCAGGGTGGGAGCTGAGGCGCCAGGAGGGAGGAGGCCGGCAGGGCGCCCTCTAGCGCTTGCGAGCTGGGAGTGTCCGGGACGGGGGTGCAAGTTGGCAGCGGGAGTGGTCGGTGTGCCGCCAGAGCCATTCTGGAGCGCTGTCCCCACCCGCCCCCTGCCTGTGCATCTGGCCCCATTCACGGCCCTCCACGTGTCCCTCCAGCAAACATCAGAGCACCAGAGCGTCCCTCCCCGTGATGCCCCTGCAGGTGACCTGCGTGCAGGCCCATCACCTGTTGCAGAAGTGTTAGCTGGCTGAAGAGCTGGTGGGTGCTGTACTCGGTCAGGAAGTAGGGGCCCTTCTCGTTGGCCTTGGCATAGGGGCCGTAGAAGTCCTCGAAGAAGCAGGGCTTGGGCAGGGCAGACGCAATGGTGTACTGGCGCTCCTTGTGGTGTGGCAGTGCCAGCCCGTTGCCCCGGGACAGCCTCCAGGGGAAGCTCTGTGGGGCAAGGTCAGGCTGTGCTAAAGGGGCTGTCAGCACAGCTGGTCCTTTCCGGGTGGGCAGCCTGGCGGGGGTGGGGCAGGGGGAAGACCAGGCTGGCTCTGGGCCTGGGACTCTTCAGACTGGCTCAGCTAGAGCCACAGAGCAAATCCCTCCCGCCTGTGGCCGTGTTGGCTCAAGGACACTGTCCTGGTCATTTCAGCAGGTCCCCCATGGAGAGAGCCACTGAAGTTTGGGGCCGTCCCCATGTATTACAGACAGGTCCCTTCAGACCTGGCCCCCATCCCAGGCCATTTCCTGATGATGGTGTCTCCCACCCAGACCTCTGGCCTGAGGGTCAGGAATGTTAGGTCATCTGAGGAGCTGGCCTGGGCTCCCTGGCTGTGTCCTGTCCTTGAGCAGGGTGAGGGGCAGGAGGTGCCAGCCTTACAGGGCTGATACCTAGGACTGGCAACGTGGGGAGCATGTGGGTACATGCAGGCGGGTGTGCCTGTACGTGTGTTCACGTGTGTGCATGCACTCTCTGTGTTCTCTGGGCTGGGCTCAGGGAGCTGCACTGCCCGCCCCCAGAGGCCCTCCCCTGGGAAAGGCCCCCACCTTCCGGGAGACGCCGTCTTCTGAGAGCCTCTTACAGAGGGCATTGAGAGGTCTGCCGTCCTCCTCGGCTTCCTTGGGGTCCTCCAGGTCTGTGCCACGTGAGGTGCCCTCGGCCCGCCGGTCAGTGCCCACCTCCAGGAGGCCCAGCAGGTGCTCCGCGGAGCCATCCAGTGGCAGGATCTGGGTAGAAGCACAAGGCAGTCGCTTGCCACCCAGATGAGGGTGGTGGCTCTCACCCCGAGTGCTGCCCGCGGAGGAGGGGCTGCTCAGGTGCTCTGCCTGTGGTCACCTTGGAAGAGATGAAGTCCTCAAGCCTGCCCAGGAGCCCGGTGTTCCGAGTGAAGTCCACAGCATAGCAATCTTCCAGCCAGGCCTGCAGGAGGCAGAAGCTTCGCTTGTAGATCTTGGTGAAGGTCGAGGTGGGGTCCTGGTGGGCCCTGCAGGCAGAAAGGAGGAGACCTAAGCTGTGCAGGGTCCCCGGCTGGCCCTGTGAGACCTGCTGCCCAACGCCGCACTCGGGCAGATGGCTGCCTGTGGGCACACTGTCAAGCAAGGGGGTGTGAGTGGGGTCTGAGCGTGGCTCTGTCTTCGAGGACGATTTCAGCCCTACCCTCCTGTCTCAGGGGACGGGAGAGACAGCCAGTAGGTGCCCAGCGGGGCCCCGGGCTCAGTGACCGGGACAGGAGCCTGCTGCCTCTCCTCCACCCTTGCCCGGCGCCCAGTCCTGGAGCACCTGTCACCCCCTGCAGCCAGTCCCTGGGATGCCAGGGGTCTGGGAGGCAGCGTGCAGGCGCTGCATAGGAGGTGGAGTGGGAGTCTGGCTCCACAGGTGGAAGTCTCTCCTGTGATTCCCTGCCCCCAGGGAGGGAGTGCATGGGGAGTCTGGCGGTGATGCCAGGCCAGCTCAGAGAACAGGCCAGAGCACGTCCATCTAGCTTCTCCACTGACCCCAGCCCTCGGCTGCCCATGTGTCGCAGAGGAAGGCTGAGGGCTGGCAGGACCCTCATCCCCTTCGGCCGCCCTCCTCCAGCTGACGGGCTTGGCACTCACCCGTCTCCTACCTGCCCCCGCCCCCCCCCTCCCCTGCCCCCACCTCCCCTCCCCCACCCCCACCCTCCCCTCCCCCATTAGCATCAGCGGCCCCTCTCTGGCCACTCTCCCCTTCTGCCACAGCTGGCTCCCTTCTCTGGGACCCCGTGTCCCCTCTCCTTGCTCTTCCTTCTCCCGCCAGGCTCTGCCCTCATCCTTGTCAGGGTCACCAGGGACCCCCTCGCCCTTCAAAGTCACTAACGAGGTGCCATGGGGTCCACCCTGTGGCTGTGTCACCACTTGTGGGGTCCTGGGTCTGTGGCCGTACCTGGACAGGGTGCTGTTGATGCGGTCCAGGAGGAAGTGCAGGAAGTCCTGGGGCGTGCAGAAGTACCGGAAGGTGTAGAGGAACTGCTGTACGTACCCCTCCAGGAAGGCGTCACTGGGGCCGAGAGGAAGTGGTCAGACCACAGGGATGGCTGCGGCGCGTCCTCCAGCCCTGCTGGCCCAGGGCCAGGCCCCCGGCTCGCAGGTTCTCCCCACACCCGAGCAGCCAGTCCTGGCGGCCCTGGCAGGCCTCTCCTCCCACCAGACCTTACCTGTGCTGCAGGTAAGTGGGGGAGGCCCGGCTCCCCGCAGCCTTCCTTGGCCGTTCTGGGGTAAACGTGTGAAACAGAGAGCGTGTGATGTGCATGAGCGTGAAAGCGTGTGAGTTCTCTGTGTGTGAGCGTGTGCATGCGTGCCCTTGCCAGGAGGATGGCGGACAAGAGAACCACTTGGAGAAGTAAAAGGTGAATGTGGAGGGTTGGGAACATCAGGGACTCCCAACCGTATCTGGTGGGAGGATCTTCTTTGCCACTGATATTTAAGCCACCCTCACTATCTGCTTCTAGAACCTATTCAGAAAACTCCTGTGCACAGGCAGCAACTCCAGCCCCCAAATTGGAACTCACTGCATTAGAAATGAGAGTGGCAATTTGTGCCCCAAAGTTCTCAGTTTCTTCATGGCAAAACCAGGTAGTTGAGGGAAGGAGGGTCCTTATGCTTCACCGAGCATCCCCCACCCTCAGGGAGGCCCAGGTTGGGTGACACCATGCAGGTCAGTGACTGAGTCTCAGAAACAAGAAAGGTGCGTGGGTCCTGGAAAGGCTGCCTCCCCAGCCACTGGAAGGTGCTTCAGAGTGGAGACATGATGTCTGAAGACTGGGTCAGCCACCCAGTCACCCTGGGGCTTCTGTGGGCTGGGGATGCTGTGGCCGGGGTCAGGCCCAGCCTGTGAAGATAAACCACATGAGTGAAGGCTCTCCCCTTGTTGGAGGTGCTGTGTACAAACACACAGCACACAATGCAAGAGCCCTCAACACACACACACCCCATTCACCACCCCCACGCACACACACACCCCATGCACACACACACCCCACCCACACACGTGCACACACAAGTCTCCTGTAATCACACAGCCAACCCTCGGTGTGTGTGGTATACCCGTCTTGCAAAGGGTATACCTGGGCCCCCGGCCAGTGGAAGGCTCCCAGCACAGCCAGGTGCAGTCCACCTCAGGAGTTCAGGCTACATGGGCAGAGGCTGCTGTCCTGGGAGGCCTGGGAGGCCCCTGCTCTCAGGGACTTCCCTTGTTCCCCGACAGCCCCCAGTGTTCCCTGCTGACACCTGACCATCAGTTCTGGGGTCACCACAGCCTCCAGCTTAAAGAAGGCCTCAGGGGCTCCCAAGTGTGTCATGGGTCTCCCAAAGCCAAGACTGGGTGAGGCCTCTCACTACTGCCTGGGAAGGTAGTCTGTACCCGACCCTGAGCTGCTGGGCCCCGTGCCTGGGAGTGGGCCAGGCCATTGGGTCAAGGGAACCTGCCAGGAGGTCCTGTGTCTGCGTACCAGGTGAACACTAGAGGTCCATCCACACAGGACATGTGACCGTGCCGATGGACAGGGTGGGGGTGTCCTGAGGGTGCCTGTGACCCTGGGTGTGAGGGGACTGGCCCTCCCTGCTGCAGGGTGAGCATGCACACCTTGCACATCAGTTAGGGTATCTGATGAAACAACGTTGTGCTCATGCCCAGAGACAGTGGCTGCAGAAGTAATTCAATGAGTGTGCTGAGACCAACCTCCCTGGCGGTCCCTGGGGAGCTAGACGATTAATTGTGGGGTGTTTTCACCTGGCAAAGTGGCTGGGATCCAGGTATGTTTCTGAGGCTCCTGTGTGTGTTTAATTTTAGAAGCCCCCTGGGTTGTTAATTGTGCATGGCCACATTCCCCGGCTCTCCTCCCGGCACCTGTCTGGGCGCACCTGAGATTCCAGGTGCAGGTCCAGCCAAGAGCTTGGCAAAGGAGACAAATGGCAGCTGACACAGGCCACTTAAAGTTCTGATGAAAACATTTTTAAATTAAAAGAAGTATAAACCCATCTCAGATGAGGGAAGGCAGAGACTTTTCTCACCTTGTTCACCTCCTGGGGGCCTGTTTCTTTTTTTCTGTCTCCCTTTCGCTTTCAAAAGTCATGAAGGGGTCCAGGGAATCCCACAGGCCCACCTCCCCACTTGGGGCATGGGAGGCCGCACCTGGAGTAGAGGTATGCCATGAGCCCCAGAGGCGTGCCGGCCTGCAGGACACGGGCCTTCCTCTGCTTGCCGCCACGCGGGTGCTTGCTGACGTTGTAGAAGATGAGGGACGAGGACTCATCCAGGGGGCTGAAATCCAGTGTGTCGCAGTGGGCCGCGGAGATGTTCACGATCACGGGCAGGGTGCAGGGCTCCAGGCCCCACCGCTCCGCGTACATGACCTGTGTGTGCAGGGAAGCAAGCTGCCTCCGTCTGGTTGGCCTGCTGCCACCAGGTGCTGGCAGGACCCGGGCGCTGGGTCATCCTGCTACTGACGGGGCGGGGGGGGGGGTTTCGAGGGGGGGGGTTAGGGATTCGGGCCGACTTACCTGCAGATACTTCTTGACCAGTCCCAGGAACTGCACTTTGCACTTCATTTCTTCCAGCTGCCCTCTCAGTTTGGACAACATGGTCTTCACCTCGGAGCCTGGGGGCGGGCAGAGTTGGCACAAAGCGGGCCCCAGCCCCCCGGAGCGCCTCTGCCCGGCCCGGAGCTACCTTTACTGCGCTTCTCCTTCTGCAGGAGCTTCTGGTAGAACTTCAGAGTCTTCCGGTAGTTCCTCTTCTCGATCAGGAGCTGCTGCTCTAGCTCCTGCCACGAAACAGCCCGTGAGCCCTGCAAGCGCCCGCCCCCGCGCGCACCGCGCTTTCCCACGTGGTCGCGGAAGGCGGCCTTCCCGCAGGGCCCGCACGGGACCACAGCGCGGGACATGTCCCACGCGGGGACACCAGGGTTCTCACGGGACCTCACAGGGACGCCGTCGTCATCCAGCCACAGAAAACAGTCTGTGTGCGCCACGGGGACGTGAATTCCGACGAGGGGACTAGGAAATGTCGCCGAAGTGGGGGTTGGAGGCTAGCAGGGGACCTCTTGGCAGTGCCACTCTCGGTGAAGGGCAGACCCAGCAGGGACCCGGCAGGTGGACACACTACCGGGGATCGACTAGGAGGGTTTCCTCTGGCCCCCCGCAACAGCCCAGCCAATGAGAGACGCTCAGGGCCCAGCCAGAGAGATGCTCACTGCCCAGCCAATGCAGCCCCCAGTTTACTCCAATGGACTTTTAGTTTACAACAGGCGCCCCAACTACCCCCTCTAAAAGAGCCTCCTCTTTGTTCCCAGGTCTTGCCTGTGGTTTTTGCCCTAGTTTGCTTCTGTATGTTGCAATTCTCCGCTTTCCTGAATAAACTGTTTTTCTGGTAAAGTAACTGTTTTATTATGAAGGTCAACAGAACTGGGGGCAAAGATAATATCTCAGTAAATTGGTATTTGCAAAGTAGATCCCATTGAGCCACTTAAAACAATGAAGGCAGAAAACCCTTGAGGCAGCTAGTGGCCTGTCCCGGCTTCTTGACCGTCCCCCAGCCCAGGAAAGCCAGGCCCCCCGCACGAGGAGGGGGTTGGGGTTCAGGGGCCGCGGCTTGGGCCCCGCCCTGGCCCACCGAGGGGCTGCCCTTCTGGAGAGGTGTCCAGGACCGCTTCTGCCTGGTTAGGGGGATGGGGGGCTGGCCCGCGCCTCTGGCCTCCCTGGCCCCCTCTGGCCCCCCAGCCCAGCCAAAGGCCCTAGCTGCCCCTCGAGGCCCCTGCAGGACTCCCACGCGACCGCCAGGGGCGCCGCGTCCCCGCACCTGGGTCCCCGAGGGTGGGGATCCCACGTGAGGCCCGGCTGCCCAGCTGCCCGGCTTGCGTGGCCCCCCCCCCCGAGAGACCCCCGCGCGGAGTCCCTACCCCAGACTCAGGCTGGCTAGCCCCCGTTCCCACCGGGCCCCTTGGTGGTGCTGCGCGGGGACAGCGGCCAGGACGCGTGGCCCCTGCCGCTCGCGGGCAGTCCAGAGAGCCGCGGTGGCAGCGGGGCTTCACAGTCTGTGTCACGGTCTGCGAGGGTGCCCAGCAGCAGGGGCCCTAACTCCCTCCTGGAGAATGTGCATCTCCCAGGAGGGTCCACAAGCTTGCTTGGGGTGGGGGGGAGTTCCCCCAGCTCTGTCCTCCAGTGAGGTGGGTCTGGGTTCTTCTCTCACCCAGAGGGACCAGGAAACCCTCGAGGCTGGAGGGCAGGCTCAGGGCAGCCAGTGTTAGAAATGCCAGAACCCGGACATGGCTCCTCCCTTGATGGAAGGAGCAGACAGATGCAGCCTGGCTTACTGCCCCCAACCCTGCAGGGTCCAGGGCTGAGGAGGGCTGTGAGTCTGGAGCGGTGAGGGCGCTGGAAGACTGGTGGGTCCCTGGGAGGGGGCCTGGAGCTCCCGCGGGTCTCCAGCTGGGGCTGTGAGGTTGCCTGTCCCTGGGGGAGGAGGGTAGGTGTGGGGTGGGCACAGTGAGGGACCTGGCTAGGGCCAGGAGCCAGAGGAAGAGGCAGAGGCCCAGGGACCTCTCAGACTCCCAGGGAAATAACTTCCTGTTAGCAGGGCTCAAGGTGGCCCCAGGGCCCTGAAATGGCCACACTGATAGGAGCCTTAATCTGAAAGCCAAACACACTCCAGTCTTCATTTGGGCACTTCTAATCAGCTCAAACCCAAACAAGCTTTCCCCTGATCTCCTCTAACTACAACAAGGGACTTTGCTTTGTTGGGAGCACTTATTTCTGTACAATTTTGTGAAATTAAAAATGCAAGTGGTGTTTTTATTTAAATATTGGAATCTCTTCTATCTGATGGTTTTACTGAAAAGGTGGTTCATGTGGCTGTCTTCTTCCTCATGCCTCTGTTTTATTTTATTTTTTAAAGATTTTATTTATTTATTTGAGAGAGAATGAGAGAGAGGGAGAGCATGAGAGGGGGGAGGGTCAGAGGGAGAAGCAGACTCCCTGCTGAGCAGGAAGCCCGATGTGGGACTCGATCCCGGGACTCCGGGATCATGACCTGAGCCTAAGGCAGTCGCTTAACCAACTGAGCCACCCAGGAGCCCTTCATGCCTCTATTTTAACAGCGGGGTAGCAGATGGCCATGCCAGGTGGTAGGAACCTCCAGGCCTGGGGCAGCTGTGGGGCAGGGGCTGTGCCAGTGTTGGGGGACGTGGTGCAGACTGAACACAGAACCACCTTCCTCTCCCACGTCTCTGTTGTGGAATCAGGTCCCCCAAGGCCTCCAGGTCCTTCTCCAGCTGGGTCACGTGCAAGCTGCAGAGGGTGGGGGTGTCACACACTGGGACGGCAGGCAGTCTCTCTCCGTGGAAACAGGTGTGGAGAACGCTGATTTTGAGCACAGCGAGATCCCCACGTGAGGCAGACATTTGGGGAGGAAGCCTGCTGAGCACAGCTCGTGTGACCCCAAAGCTGCTGAGACATCTTTTGGCTGGGACTGTGTGTGAGGAGAGTGAGGATCTGACGTCGCACACCCTGGCTCCAAATCTGCCTTCCTGGCTTGTCGGCCCGAGGACCCAGTCGCTGGTCGCCAGGGTGGGGGACAGAATGAGCGCCCAGGGTGTGTGGGGCAGAACTGTGTGTGCAGGACCTACACGTGCCTCCGACATGGGAGCCACTGGCCGTGTGTGGCGGCTGTAGTATTAAAAGGACATGAAATGGGCGCCTGGGTGGCTCAGTCGTGAAGCGTCTGCCTTCGGCTCAGGTCACGATCCCAGGGTCCTGGGATCGAGCCCCGCATCAGGCTCCCTGCTTGGCGGGAAGCCTGCTTCTCCCTCTCCCACTCCCCCTGCCTGTGTTCCTGCTCTCGCTATCTCTCTCTCTCTGTCAAATAAACAAATAAAAAATCTTAAAAAAAAAATAAAAGGACATGAAAATGTCAATTCCTCTGTCTTGTAGGCCACACCTCGAGTGCTCAACCACACATGGCTGGTGGCTACCCGGGGGATGGCACAGATCTGGAATGTGTCATCACTGAGGACAGTCCTGTGGGAGGGCACAAACCCTGACCCCAGCACACGTAGGTGACCCTGCACAGCTGTGTTCACAGATGGACGCATCTCTGCCCTCTGGAGGCCTGGTTCGAGCAAGGCCGAGGGTCTCTGCGTCCCATCCACGCATGCTTCTCTGTGATCCTCCCTCCCTCCCTTCCTTTTTTTCTTTAGATTTTATTTATTTATTTGAGAGAGAGAGCACCGAGAGAGGGAGAAGCAGACTCCCCACTGAGCAGAGAGCTGGACACGGGGCTCCATCCCAGGACCCTGAGATCATGACCTGAGCCAAAGGCAGCCGCTTAACCGATGGAGCCACCAGGCGCCCCTAATCCTGGCTCTCTGAAGACGCCATGACCCTGGCTGACATCCCCCAAAGCCTGAAGAGGGGAAGGACGGCCCCGAGCCCTGCGTTCCAGGGCTCTCCTTTTGTGCAGCTCAGGACCACCATGGAGAGGGCACTCTCTGAGGCCACCCTGCACAAGGCTCTGTCCAGCCCCGTCGCCCCCTCGCACACTGTCCAGATGCTGATCCAGACCCCTCCCCCAGAGAGGGCCTGTGGGACACACCTGCTTCCTGCCGGAAAGGAGGGCTCACACAGACTCCAGGACTGTTTTGACTGATTTTAAAACTAAATCTATGTGAACTAAACTCCACACAAGATGGGATAATGGAGAAGACACACACGAGCGGGGCTTCACCACGACCACACTTGGCAGAAGCACAGCAAACCCGACCGCAGCTGACTCGGACTGGCGAGGTCTAAATAATATACTCAGGATCATTTGCATTGAGGTGCTTCCCCTGGCCTAACCCAACGAAGGACTTTCCCCATAGAATTATGAGAGAAGTAAATGTGAATGATCTGAGGCACAACCACACATGGCCCTCTGCATTGACATGGGCCTGAAAGCTGGCCAGTACTGGGGTCAAAGAGGACCACAGTCAGAAGGAAGCGGGAAAGCCAGAACTTACAAAGAGAGAAAAGAGGGGGGAACCGAAATCAGCACCACTCACCTAAATACTGAAAGCAAAGCCTGTTTTAACAGCTGGTGAAGGGCAACAAAACCCCTCGGGGCAGCTTCACAGCCCGGGGCGCCTGGGGTGAGGCACGAGGAGACGCAGGCACCCAGCCTGCACTCACGGCAGGTGCGCGGGGCACGTGCGGGGCACCATGCTCGGTGACCAATGGAGGGAACCCGGTGCCCCCCAGCCGCTCTGCCCACCCCAGCGCCTGGGCCTGCCTCACACCCGCTCGGTTTGGGTAGTGAATGTGAAAGTGTGACCGATAGTTGTTTTACACCTTTCGAGTTTGCCCGAAATGGACGCAGCGGGTTCTCAAAGAGAAACGCGAAACTATGGCGGCCTCGTCCAGCCGCACCCCCCTCCCCCCATGCAGGCGAGGGCGCAGGAAACTCACCTGTCTGCATTCCGGTTCCAGGAGAGATGTCTTCCCCAGGTGAGCAGGAACAAAAGGGAAAACAGGGTCACTCCGGGTCACTCCACAGCGTCCCTCAAACCGCCTGCCTCCTCCCGACTGTGCCCCCCGCAGAGTGACCGCAGAGTGACTGTGGGACCGAGCCTATTTCAGAGATGGGAGGCCCAGGGCACCTCGTCCCAACCACAGGGTCATGGTCCACACCAGGGCAGCCACTGGCCGCCGGCACTCTTCTGGTCTGAGCTGGCCTCTGAGCCCACTTTCAAGAACAATCTGAGTATGGTGCAGAGGTGACCTGGGCTCACCAGTGGGAGCATCTTCCCGCAAGGGGCCGCCACCCTGAGGAGAGCACAGGACTGAGGAAAGGGCCCGTCAGCCTACAGCAGGCTCTCACACACACAAGAGCCACCCTCTGCTGAACACAGGGGCTGGCAACAGGGCAGTCCGTCCATAGCCGTCCATCATAAGGACGTGACTATAGTCAGCAGGCGTGACCTGTGATATCGGGGGATGACCTACGACATTGGAGGACACACCTGGACCCTTACCATCCCCCCTTCCCCACAACTCTCGGATTAAGCTGTTGGGGAAGTCGGTGTGGACACAGTGAGCTCTGCCTCTGAAAGGGCCACGTCCTCTGTTACTGGGGCGTGGGCGCCCCCAGCCTCCCCGTTCCCAGGTCAGCGGGGCTCCTGTCTCCTGGTCCAGCTGGAGGTTAGAGTAACAGGATGCTGGTGGGGCGGTGTGCACATATTGAGGGCAAAGGAAACTCCGAGGGGATGCTGCCTCCATCTCTTCTCTGTTCACTTGGATTCAACTAGAATGACATCTGTAAGCATTGGTTCAAGTTCCCAAGGCCAAGAGTCATCCTCTCCTTTGTTTTGTTTTCAACTATTTTTCTAAAAGATTTATTTATTTATTTGAGAGAGAGAACATGCGCGCACAGTGGGGAGAAGCAGAGGGAGAGAGAGTCCCAAGCAGATTCCCTGCTGAGCGCGGAGCCCGACGTGGGGCTCGGTCTCCCGACCCCGAGATCACCACCTGAGCTGAAACCGAGTCCGACGCTTAACTGACGGCGCCACCAGGTGCCCTGCTCTCAACTAGTTTTTAAATTTTTATTTTGAAAAATTTTTTGTGACAAAATATACATAAAATTTACCATTTTAACCATTCCTCATCGTGCCGTTCAGTGGCATGAAACACACTCAGCCCGTTGTACAACCGTCCCCACCCTCCATGTCCATCTTACAGGAGGGAAGCTCTGTCCCGATCAGCCCCCATTGCCTCCCCCCGTGCGGTCTCTGTGAACGTGGTGACTCCAGGGACCTCATGAAGGTGGGGCACACAGTCCTGCTCCTTCGGTGTCTGGCTTTCACTCAGCGTCAGGCCCTCGGGGCTCCTCTGTGGCGTGGCAGGGGCCAGCCCGTCCCACTGTATGCATACTCTCCATCTCCATCCATCCATCTGTTGATGAGCACTTGGGCTGCTGTGAACCAGCCCTCGGAGGACCTCCACCCAGCTCTTTGGGGTGGACACCCAGAGGTGGACTTGCTGACTTACAGGGTAAATCTAGGCTTAATTTTTGGAGGAAACTCCAGAGTGGCTGTGCCATTTTACATTCCCACCAGCCATGCACGAGGGCTCCAGTTTCTCCACATCTTGCCAACATGATATTTTCTTTCTTCTTTTTTAAATTTTGGTAAGAGCCATCCTACCATGTGTGAGGTGGTGTCTCACTGTGGTTTTGATTTGCTTTTCCCTAATGACCAGTGATGTTGAGCATCTATTCATGAGCTTTTGGCTATTTGTGTATCTTCTTTGGAGAGACATCTATGTAAGTCCATCATTCCTTGTTCAGCTGGGTTTTTGGGTTGTTGCTGTTGTGTTCCCTATACATTCTGGAGATTAAACCTTTCTCAGATATATGATTTGCAAATGTTTCCTGCCATTCCGTGGCTTGCCTTTCCCCTCTGTCGACGGCGTCCTTTGACACGCAAAAGGTCTGCATTTTGATCGAGTACAATTTTTCTTTTCTTTTTTTTTTTTTTTAAAGGACTTATTTATTTATTTGACAGAGAGACACAGCGAGAGAGGGAACACAAGCAGGGGGAGCGGGAGAGGGAGAAGCAGGCTTCCCGCGGAGCAGGGAGCCTGATGTGGGGCTCGATCCCAGGACCCTGGGATCATGACCTGAGCCGAAGGCAGACGCTTAACGACTGAGCCACCCAGGCGCCCCGAGTACAATTTTTCTATTTTTACTTTTGTTGCCTGCGCTTTTGGTGTTATATCCAAGAAATCATTTCCACGTCCAGGGTTATGAAGCTTCTCCCATTTTCTTCTATGAGTTTTATAATTTTAGCTCTAACGTTTAGGTCTCTGATATTTCAGTTAATTTCTGGAAGTGGCATACGGTACAGGACCGACTTTATCCTTTCACAGGGGGACACCCTGTTTTCCCAGCAGACTGTCCTTGGCCCACTGGCCAGTCAGACGGTTTTTACAAAAATCATCTCACTACGGGCTTATTTCCGGGCTCTCCTATCCGCCCTGCTGTTCTGTACATCTGTCCTCATGCCAAGACCACACTGTTGACAACGGCAGCTCTGTAGCAGGTTTTGAAATCAGAAGTGTGAGTTGTCCACTTCTGTTCTTCTTTTTCATGATTGTTTGGCTAGTTGAGGTCCCTTGAGAGTCTGTATGAATTTTAGGATGAGTTTTTCTACTTGGTCGAAAACCATCATTGGGCCATTGCTCTTTTCAGCTCCAGGATCTGTACGAGTGTGGACGTGTGGATGTTTCACACTCTGAGTTAGAACACTGTTCTGTGTTATTTCTTTTGCTTCTCAAACTGCTCTGGCTGCTGGGGGCCCTTCAGCCGGTTCCTCTGAACTTCGACGTGCCCCCATCATGGGTTCTTAATCATTTCCTCACTTTCTGGTCCAAGATGGCCCCGGCTCGTTGTCACCGGTCTTGCCCCAGTCCCGGGGTCCGTGATTTCTCCCAGGAGCCCCGGTCCCTCTGACTGGAGGACGGCCCTGGAACCAGGACCCTGGCACGGGCCGTCTCTGCTTCCAGGCCCTCAGCCTACACAACTAGGAAACACGTGGTGCGTATTTCAGGGAAACGTTTTAGTTCCTCACTGCCCCCTCAGAAACTGCGTCACAGCACTCACTGTCCACGGGCCCTTCTCAGTGACGAACGTTAGGATCCTCAGGACCCTCCAACACCAGGACAGCCCAGGGTGTGGAGGACCTGTTCCACTCCTGCTTACGAGGCCCGTGCGTGTGGTGGGCTGTCATGAGCTGCGGCCCCATCGCTGGTCCCACAACGGGGAGTGTGATGTGGCTTTCTGCCTCTTATAGGCTATTCACTTTCCACTTCTGGGAGAGGCCATCACAGGTAGAAAGCTGCTGGGGCGAGATCATCTAGCAGCTCCGAGTAAGCTTCATCGTGTGCAAATACACGTTATAGAAAAGGAAGTGGGGGCGAGGTCCGCAGACCCCCTGCCCGCCCCCGGAAGGAAGGAGCCGGTCAGGGGCTGGGAGCCCTGGACTCTGATTCAGCGGCACGGAGCTGCCCTGTGGTCTGAGCTCTGTGCTCCTGGCCCTGACAGCCTACATGGGGGCCCCCCTCCATGCCAGGGCCTCACCAGAGGTCCCTGCCAGGCCCCGAAGTTTGGTGCCCATGATGGCACATGCAGGGGATCACAGCATGAAGCCAGGAGGGGCAGGGTGGGTCCCCATGGCATGGCCCCCATCCTCACATGTGCAGGCCGAGGGCAGGGACCTGCTCTTTTTCCAGCTTGGGACTGAGCAGGGACGCCAAGTTCAGGCAGTGGCAGGAAGTGAACAAGGGGGGGCCCCGGGGGAAGGTTCGGACCGTGCTGTCAGGGCTGGGGAGACGCTGCGTTCCTGTGGCTTCTGCTTGGAGGCCAGAGGAAGTGTCATGCCGGGCAGGTAGAGGAGAAGTGCTTAAGCACTGATGGAGTCTTTCCCGACTGCTGTCCTGGAGGATCAGGCCTTGTGCACCGAGGCCCAAGTGGGGCCTCCTGGTCACAGGGGAAGGCTGCAGCCCAGGTCAGAGCCGCTGGGTATGGGGGGCAGGGGCTCAATGGCAGGGGCAGCGACCATGGGTCCAGAGCTCTGTGGGGTGCCCTCACCCAGGGGCCGCCTGGCCTGGCCACCCTCAAGTTTGTGGGCTCCTCTCGCCCTGCTGAACAGGGAGAAGCGTAGGCTGCCCTAGCTGGAGGGACGCTGCCCACCAGAGAAGCCCAGGCCAGATGACCCCGGGGTCCGGCCGTAACGCACCACCGCGGGCAAGGCACGAGGAACAGGAGGCTGCCTGGGTGGAGGGGGCTCCACCTGCCTGCCCGGCCCCGAGACACGCCCCGAGGCCAACAGTCACCTGGCGCCCATGTGCCCAGCTAACAGAGAGAAAGGCTATGTCCTACCCGAAATGTGGAGGACACACGCAGATGAGCACAGTACTCCCATGGAGGGTGCCCAGACGGGCGCGGGGGTCACTGGTGGTGGGTGGGGCCCCAGACGTGGGACGCAGGGAGGGGCTCTGGACGCACCCCCCACTGCCTGAGTGACTGGAGCTCCTGTTGTGATGTGGGACTTGCCGCCCAGGGCGCCTCTGCGGCCATGGCACCCTCTTCCCCGACACAGCCAGCAGTGGGCAGCGGCCCAGGACTCACCGGGCTCTGGGCGTCCGCGTCGGTGGCCCTGCCGGCTCTCTGCCTCACCAGCTCCTTCACGTAGCTGGAGACGTCGGCACCGAAGCAGTCTGCCTCGTAGAAGGCGCTGCACCAGCCGGGACTGCAGCTCTGGAGCTCGGCCGGGCCCGAGTGCGTAGCCGGGGCCCCCTTCTTGGGCCTGGCCAGCTGGGCCACCGCCTCGGGCCCCAGGCCCCCTCCCTGCTGCCCGCGCTCTCCGGCCTCCTGCTGCTGTTCCCGCTCGCCTCTGACCGACTTCTGAGGCCGGAATCCCACCTCAAAGTTACCCCGTGAGAGTTCGTCCGCATCCACATCGGACAGCGCCGGGGACGGGCAGGGGGCTCGGCTGACCCGCGCGGCGGTCAGTTTCTCCTTCCCTGCACAGGGGAGGAGGATTTCACTCGGAACTCTAGCTCGTGTGGCAGAGTCCATCACTAATTGTTTACGGAGAGGCTGCTCATGCTGAGTTGGGCTCGAGACGGCCTGGTGCCCCCTGCTTCTCTAGGGGCCCAACAGAGTTCAGGGCAGTGGTCCTGTGTCCCAGGAGGGTCCCTCAGATCCCCTCCCAAACACAGGCTGTCCCGTGGGGCCTGAGTCCAGGGAGGAGACCCCAGGGGTTGTGACCTGCTTGTGCAGAGAGGAGCACAAACGAGGCTGGACCGAGGGGCAGAGGGGCTCACTGGGCACAGTCACTTTGCTCCTCAACTTCCTGGGGCATGCACGCGGTGGAAAGGGTGGGAGGAGGGTGCCTGTCCACCTGCTCCAATGGCCATTATGTGTGATCATAGTCATGCAACCTGATTCCTAAAGCCATGTCCCATTCAGACGGGATTCTGTGAAACTACAAAGACTTCAGTTATCTTGGAGCCCTGCACTAACATTCCAGGGAAATAAGCCTCAGAGTCCTTAAATGGCACCTGTTTCTAGGAAAGATGCAAAGAGTCCCCTATCACCAAGCTGTTGGCCAGTGATTCCAGGAAGCAGAAGCGCCCTCCCAGCCCCCAGCCCACTGGGCTCCTACTCGCCGCCCACCTGCTGGCCTGGGAGAACCCCGTTCACAGCACAGAGCCCCCAGGGGAAGACAAACCCTGCTCTGGGGTCTCTGAGCGGACACTGGGGGGCCCCAGGGGCAGAGGGGAGCCTCTCTTGTAAGAGGGTCAACACGGACCCCGCCGTGGAGGGTTCTTGCCCCCAGAGTCCATGTCTCTTACCTGCTCCATGCAGTGATGGCCTTTTGCTGGACAGTGAGCAGCCACTTGGAGTGCTGGCCGTGCCGCCCTCGGGCTGTGACCCAGCCTCCTCTGAAGCACTGTCATCAGAAGGAAGGACATTGCAGGCGCCCCCTGGCCCCCCCACCTCTACTGCCTTCCAACAGGAAACTTTCGGCGGATGTGCAGAAGCCCCACTGAGGCTGCGGTGGGGACCTCCAGTGACCCCACCCCGGCACCCCGGACACACACCACTTGACAGAGGCCCCACCCAAGCTTCCCAAGGACAACCCGACCACAGGCCACCGGCTGGTACAGAACACCGTCCTTCCACAGTAATTAAGGGGCCCAAATCATTGGCACAGGGCTTCCTGGGCCTTCATTTCTGGAGGTCCCTGGATGGCCCTTCTCCATGCGACAAGAACATGGGGGTGCGGGAGGGGTGGGGTGCTCGTCTTGGTGCTCTCTTGACTTGTCTGCACAGGAGGGGAGCACAGCAAGGTGCCCCTACAGCTCCCACGGCAAATGCTAAGTGACCCCCTGTCCTACCTGCCGGTGTGGCCACTGGAGGCAGACACAGGGCTGTGGGTGAGCCTGGTGTCAAGACATCAGGGTCCAGGCACAGTCCCGCCCCCGGGAGAGGGAAGCCGCCTGTCCTCCAGCGGCCATCACCCCACGTCGGCTGTTAGGAGGGAAGCTGTCACCCAGCGCCGACCTGGATGACTGGGTGGGGGCAGATGCTGTTCCCTGTGGGGGCCTTCTCCCCTCTGGGCTCCCGGTCCCTTTGCCTCCTCAAGCTGGTAGCTGAGCAGGGATGTGCCTCCCACATCCTGTGAGCCCACAGCCCTCTCTTCCTGCCCAAAGGAGCCCAGTGCCCAAAGGGAGAGCTGGGGGTTAGGGTGGGCTTCAGGCCCAGTGAGAGGGACCCGGGTGGGTGGCCAGTGTGGGGAGCTGGACTTCAGGGGACAGGAGGGTGTGCAGGGAACACAGCCAGGGGCCAGAGGGGGCAGAACGAGGGCCATCCGGCCTGGCAGGGGACCCCAGGGTGGGGGAAGCCTGGGGCCTGACAAGGGGGACTCACTTCTCAGAGGGGGACATCCTCCCGTTCACCACTTTGAAAAGACTCTGCAGCAACTTCTCCCCCCAGTAGAGGTCACAGAACTTCTCTGATATGGCCCCACAGAAAGTGGCGTAGGTGAGGTCTTTCAAGGCGTAGATATATTCCCCTGGGTTTGCAAAATGGTAGCGGCGAGTCACTATGTGGGCGAGCATCCCCTCTGGGTTCCCTGCTCTCTACAGCTGGGGATCGGGGTGGGGGGGAAGCCGGGGCAGCGGGACCAGGCCCTGAGACCCTCTTCCTGTCTGAGGCTCTGCTGCTGGCCGACCCCCCGGGGCACAGCCCTGCCCCCCGAGCTCTTCATGCAGATGGATGAGTGGGGGCCCCAGGTCCCCTTCACACTGATCCTCCCCCAGGGCACCGTGTCCCCCCCAGCCTCTCCCTGGTCCTGGGGCTTCTCTGGGGAACCCTGTGCCCACCCCCCCATGATACCCATGATCAGAGCCTCCAGTCCGTTGTCCAAGTAGCCGTCGAAGGCAAACTCCTCCTGGATGAGGCGCATGGCCTCCTGCAGCGACGGGCAGGCCGTCCTCTTCGGGAGGGCTGAGGCGTCCACACCGGGCAGACAGAGCTTGTGGTCTGCTGGCAGGGGCCGCTCGGGGTGACTGTCTGGGGCCAGGCCATCCTGCTCTGGGACAGAGGTGCCTTTGGGGCTGTCTGGACTTGCCTTGGCCAGGGAGGGGTCCCACGGGGCTGATGAGGGACCCCGAGGCTTCCGGCCTGCGCCCTCGGTGGCCTTGCTCCTGGGTGGCTTGGCTGGGTGACTCGGGTCGTGGTGGGCTGCACTGGACACTGGGGTTCTAGGTGGGGCTGGTTGGTCTGGCCCTTGCTCCACGGGAGGTGCCTGTGCCTTCAGGAGTGGGGCAGCTGTAGAAGACTCGGGCACTGCTGGTGAAGCCCCCTCTGGGCCAGGGGGTGGGGTGCAGGGGATCCCCTGGGCTGCGTCTCTCGGCACTGACTCCCTGAGCGGTTCTGCAGCTGCTCCCTGTGGTCCAGCAGCAGGTACTGGTTGGTCAGGAATCTTCTGGCTGGTGGTGGCTCCATGGGCCTCGGGAGCCTGCTTCCCATCGCCCTCCCTGTCCCTGAGAGCACAGAGAGAAGGAGGGAGCACTCGGGGGTGGCTCAGGGACCCTGCCAGCTCTGGGGCGGGGGCACTCACCTGGCGTCACCTGCATCTGGGGCCAGCACGATGGGCTGGAAGAGCGTGGCTGCGGCGGTGAAGGCGGCTGGCAGCATCGTGACCCCTTCGCGGCAGGGAGTTTGAGAGGGCACAGGCCCCTGCACCGCCACCAGCCTGGTGTCACCGCCAACCCGAACAAAACCTGGGATAAACTCTGCATGAGTGCAGGCGGTGTGGGCCGGCCCTGCAGACCCCCCGGAGCATCCCCCACCTCTGCCACAAAGCTGTGGTGGCTCCTCCCCTCCCCCCATCGGGTGCTGTGCCCCCCCATGTGCCTCCAAGGGGACTTCCAGAGACCTGAGGGGGCTGGAGGCAAGGGTGATGGAGCTGGGAGGGCGGGGCCGGGTGGGGGAGGGTGGGAGCGATGGAGAAGGCCACAGACAGGACCAGGGGGTCGTCTTCCTGCCGCAGGACGGGGTTACCGCCCAGACAGGGCAGGAACCGGTCAGCAGGATGTGCATGTGGACATGGGAAGAGAGTGGAGGGTTGCTGGGGTCACACCACCTGCTCTGGAGGCTGGTGACAAGACCGGGCGGCTGGAACAGAGGAGGAGAGTGAACAGCAAGGCCACCAGGATGTTCTGGGCACCTTGCTCCGGGGCCCAGTGGTGCCTGCCTGTGGGTGTCCACTCAGGGCTGGGGGTGAGCAGTGGGAGTGGCTGTGGGGCTGGGGGACAGGAGACGCTGGGCCCTGGCGGCCCACCTGAGCTGGGACTGGGGGCGCTGGGGTTCAGATCAACCACCGAGAGAGCATTCTGGAGGCCAATGGTCTCTTCCTCCTGGTCAACCTGAGGCAGAAGGACACGGACCGCCCCAGTCAAGGTGACACCAGGGGTCCAGAGGTGCAGACTGGACACGGCACACTCCCTGACCCTTCAGTGGCACCCCCAGCCCACAGTGACTCACGCAGCTGGGCTCTAGGCATACTGCTTCCCAATTCAACAAGGTTTTGGGAAGTTTCTAGGGCCTGGGAGGATTATGGCACCATCGGAGACCCTGGGCTTCTCAGAACTCAGACTCCCACAGGTTGCCGGGGGGACTGTGTGTGCGTCTGCCATCCAAGGGCCCCGCCTGGGTCAGTATGCTCAGGAGGCCAGCAGGCACATTTACAAACCATGCTGGCTACCTGGGGGTCACTCTGAGGGATAGGCCCCCACCCCACACACGCCAGGCCGTCCGCAGAGGGAGGGGCTGCCAGCTGGAGCTCCTCTGACAGCGAAGGAGAAGTTACCACCTCTTTCCTAAACTCACTCCATGTGGACAGTGAACAGCAAAAAGCAAGGAGGGACCCTCATCTCTGCAGGGCCCCCGGGCAGGAGGAGGGGTCTTTACCCCTGCTCCGGAAGCCCCCAACTTACCTTACAGGTGGACGCCCTCAGGTGAGCCAGGATCCTTCTGCTGTCCATTCCCCGCTGGAGGAGGTAAGTGCTGCATATCTGCAAGAAGGATGGGCCCCGTGTCCAGGTGCTCTGCGGTGCCGCAGGCTGGGCAGCGGCCCTGTGTCATCCAAACGTGGAGGGGAGTGCACCTCAGGCTGGGGCCCTTCAGAGAGTGCTCGGTGGCAGGGAGGAGGGCCTGGGGGCTTCCTGTACAGGAGGACCCCACAGGCGTCCCTCTCTGGGGAGAGCTAAGCAGGGCCCACGTGGAAGGAATAAAGACCCAACAGAAATGGCCACAGCCCCTCCCCAGGCCCCTGCCACGCTGACAGCCATCCGCATGGAGGGGCGAGGGGCGAGCCTCAGGCTCCGGGGGCGGGGGCCCCGGGGCTGGAGAGGAGGGCACAAGGACACATGACCTTTCCAGCCGGCCCGTCTAAGAACTCCAAGAAAGGGAGGCGTTAAGACCCATAGCAGACTTAGGGCAGAACCACTCAGCCCCCACATGTGCAGACGAGACAACAACCCCCCAGACTGCAACCTAAAAAACAGCAAGAGAACAATTCTGTAGACAATTACGATTAACTGCAACTTGACCCAGTTGCCTGGGTCCTTTGTGACCTTGACAACAGGGCAGTGGCTGCCTGCAGGGTGAGTGTGGATGTGGCCCCAGAGCCATGTGCTGGGGCGTTAGGCAGATTTGAGGCCCACGGTCTGCCGTGCCTTCTGTGCCCTCAGTTGAGCTGTTCGCTGGCTGGCTCTGGGGTGAGGGGTGGACACTGAAAATGCAGCTGACCCCCACAAACTGACCCTCTGCAAGCTCAGACATTCTGATATTTGGGGACAGAATGTCACCGGTGAGAATTTCTATTTTTCATTTGGGGTTATGGATGGTACTGAATGTGAAGATAAAGATTCTTCCCTTAAGCCACCATTTAAGGCCCCCCACCTCCCACGGACACCTCTACCGTTTCCTAACTGCTGGTGAGAACCACAAACAACTCTTGGCAGAGAACGCCCCCCTCCAAGCTCTGCACGGAGGCTGCGCGGCCCAAGTGTAGGGACGGCCCAGACCCCTTGGGGTTCCTGTCTGGAAAGCTGTTTGCTCCAGCCAACTCCAGGCAGAGGCTGTGACCTCCCCGCCTTAGAGCGTTTACTATCAAAGGTCACGCCTGTGAAACTTCCTCTGCCCTTGAGGTGTCTGTGCCTCTTACAACCCAGGATGTACCTGATGCTCTGAACCTCGATCTTCAGGAAGGATGGGGCCCCAGGCTCCCAGTGTCCGAGGGACGGCGGACACGGCCACTTCCCTCCCCAGTCCCTCATTCTCCCTGAAAACACCCAGCCGCCTCCGTGCAGATCTGGAGTGGAGCGAAGCTCCTTCCGTTGCCGTCCGACCATCCGTCCGTAGCTACTCAGTAAACTGGTTCAGCATTGTAGCTAATGTCTGCTGAATTTCTCTTGAGAAGGTGAGATGAGAAGAGAGGTGAGATGAGAGCTCATCCGTACTCGGCCGAGCAGGCCAGAGAGGCCCAGAGCCGTTAAGCAACCTGCCTGAGGCCACAGAGCAGTCAGGGGCAAAGAAGGCCGCACAGGGCTTCTCCCTCCGGGGGTGGCCTTCCCGCGATCACTGAACCAATCGCGGGACTGCCCCACACTTGTCCAGCTCTTGGGAGGGTCAGGGAAGGGGAGGCGAGAGGGCCCTCAGAGGAGGTGAGGGAAGTTGTGTTGTTGGGGAGAACTCTGCTCCCTGCCGGCAGCGCATACGGGCAGGGGTCAGGCTGGCCCCAGGACATCCCCTGCCCACTCCAGGTGGGCGAGTGCACTGGGGACACCCGGGTGGTCTGGCAGGGGCCAGGGTAGTGAGCAGCAGACACTGTCCACCACCTGTCCACAAATGAAACCTGTGGCTCTCCCTGTCCAACGCCCACTTTTCCGGGAACAGGAACCTGGGCACTCTGTCAGCTATCACCCAGGCCCTGGACAGTGACCTGGGGTCCCAATGGCAGTGTGGTTACCTTGATGGCCTCAGCTGTGCACGGCCGCTCCTGGGCGCTGCGTCTGGCCATGTCCAAGAGGAGGGTCTTGAGCCTGCGTGGCAGGGCCAGCTTGTGGTCTCGGGGGACGCTGAACTTGGCTGCTGTCCACAGGACTGCGGCCACACAGTACACGGAGGCCTGGGTGGAGAAAAGCCCAGCCCTGCTCAGCAGCACCTCCCTACCCTGGGCTCCCCCAGCGGCACCCCGGGCACTAGCAGGACAGCTGCTCCTGTGGGGACCCCTGCCGCACACCTCCTTGGAGCTTGGAGGCCCCAGCTAGACCCCGAGTCAGATCTCCCAGGGGCCTGGCCTGGGGACCTGCATGTTTACCAAATACCCATGGTCTTCACCCTGAAGTGTGAACAGCTATGACTTGAGGCCTCAGCGGGGACCCTCCCACTTTCAGGGTCCTCAGGCAGGTGGAGGCCGCAGCTTGGGGGTCTGAGGCCAGGGGCCCCCGAACCAGTGGGGGTGCTGCTATATGGTAGACCCCAGGATTCTAAACAAAAATACCCGCCTCTACGTACACACATCTGTTTATTCTAAATGTCCCCAGTGCAACACACAGTTTAGAAATAAGGAAAGGTGTCACACTCCTGTTTAGTTAAGTTCCAGAGAGCCAAGGGATCTCCCCGGATGTGCTCATGGATTTTACTCAGTTCTTGTATCCGAATCCGCCTGCGACAGACAGGTGGCTGCCACACGCCTACCGGTTGGTGTTTTCATTTGACTTGACAGGCGAGATGGAAGTGGAATGTGGAAGGCCTGGTTGGAGCTTCGCTGTGGTGAGCGGGTGGGCTCTCCGCCACTGGCCACAGCTGCTGAAGGTCTCGGGTGGGTCCCACAGACACGGCACACTTCTGCGTTCAGTCACACCGTGAACATTTCCTCGTCACTTTGTGAGGTCGACACAACTGACAAAACCTGGTTTCCGCGTGTGCCGATCTCCGAGGCATGAATGCTCCCACGTGGCCAACGCCAAGCTGCCCAGGTGGTGCGGGCGCATGGGGGTGGGGAGAGTGGCCCCACCAGCTGGGAGCACAGATCACCGTGCGGGACAGTCACATAATGAGGGAATTATTAGCTCTAGATATTTATTGACCTTTAAAAAAATTTAACTCTTTATTTTGAGATGATTATAGATTTACATATAGTTGTAAGAAATGATACAAAGAGATCCCGTGTGCCCTGTACCCAGTTCCCCACAACAGTAACATCTTGCAAAACTGTAGGGCGGCATCCCAACCGGATGCTGGATTGACACCATCACCATACAGCACGTTTCCGTCATCAGGATGTGTCCGGTTGCCCGAAGCCATGTTCTTAATCCCTGGCAACTACAAATCTGTTGTCCGTTTCCATGGTTGTGCCATTTCACATAAATGGAATTATACAATATGTGACCTTTTGGGATTGGCATTTTGCTGTGAGCATAATTATATGGGATGCACCCAGGTTGCTGCCTTATCAACACTCTGTTCCTTTTACTGCTCAGTAGCATTCCATGGTGTGGACGGACCCCTGCACGTTCAACCATCCACACATCTGGGTTGTGTCCCGTTTGGGGCTCTTCTGAATGCAGCTGCTGTAATCATTCATGTGCAGGATTTTGTGCAGATGTAAGTCTCATTTCTCCGGGACGAATGCCTGGGAACGCGGTTCCTGGGCTGCAGGGCAGTTACATGTTGAGTTTCTGACGAAACTGCCAAAAGGGCTGCGCCCTTTCGCGTGCCCACCAGCAGTGACCAGGAGCTCCTGTTGCTCCACGTCCTCGCCAGCATCCGGTGCGGTCAGCGTTTCGGGTGTTAGCCATTCTCATCGGCAGGGAGTGGTGTCTCCTTGTTTTAATGTGCAATTCCCAAGTGCCACATGACGTCGGACGGCTTTCATATGCTTGTTTACCATATGACATCTTTGCGAGGGTCTGTGCAGATCTTCTGCCCACTTTTTAACTGGGTTGGTTTTTAAATTAATTTGGTTTTTTTATTGTTGACTTTTAAGAGCTCTTTGTATATTTGGAATATAGATGCTTTATCAGATGTGTGTTTTGAAAATATTTTCTGCCAGTCCGTGGCCAATCTTTGCACTCTCTTAAAGTATCTTTTGAAGAGCAGAAGTCTGAGGTTGTCATGGAGTCTAACATGGACTGTCTCTTTCCCGGACCGTGCTTTTGTGTTGTGCCCAGAAGTTACTGCCAGATTCCTCGTAGGGGCTTTATGGTTTGCATTTTACATTTAGATCTATGATCCATTTTGAGTTAATGTTTGTGAAAAGTGCAAGGTCTTTGTTAAGATTTGTTTCTTTTTGTTATGTTTTTTTTGGGGGGTGTTTTTTTTTTTTTTTAACATGTGGACGTCCAGTTGTTCCAGCACCATTTGTTGAAAACTGTCCTTTCTCCACCGAATTGCCTTTGATCCTTTGTTAAAACCAGTTGACTATATTTGTGTGGGTCTATTTCTGAATTTGCTGTTCTGTTTTGTGTATTTGTCTTTTGCCAACAACACAGTCTCAATTACTATTGCTTTACAGTAAGTTTTAAAACTGGGCAGTGTCAGTCCTCTGACTTTGCTCTTCTTCAATATTGTGTCGGCTACTCTGGGTCTTTTGTCTTTCCACACATACTTTAAAATCAGATTGCTGACATCCATGAGTAACTTGCTGGGATTCTGATTGGAATTGCATTTAATCTATACAACAAATTGGGAAGAACTGATATCTTAACAGTATTGAATCCTATTCATGAACATGGAATATCTCTCTATTATTTAGATTTTTTATTTATTTATTTTTATTTAATTTTTTTAAAAAATTATTTATTTATTTATTTGACAGAGAGAGAGAGAGAGCAGGGGAAGTGGCAGGCAGAGGGAGAAGCAGGCTTCCCGCCGAGCAGGGAGCCCAATGCGGGGCTCGATCCCAGGACCCTGGGACCATGACCTGAGTCGAAGGCAGCTGCTTAACTGACTGAGCTGCCCAGGTGCCCCTTATTTAGATTTCTTAAATCAGAGTTTTGTAGTTTCCCTTATAGATCTTATATGTATTTTGTTAGATTTATAGATGAGTAATTTTTTTGGTGTGAATGTAAATTGTATTTTTAATTCCAAATGCCAATTGTGCACTGCTGGTAAACAGTAAAGCAACTGGCTTTTGCATATTAACCTGCTATCCTGAAATCTTGCTATAATTGCTTATTAGTTCCAGCAGATTTTTTGTTGATTCTTTGGGATTTTCGACATGGACAATCACGTCACTTGTAAACAGAGAGAGTTTTATTTCTTCCTTCTCAATCTGTACACATTTCCCTTTCTTTTCTTGTCTTATTCCATTAGCTGGGACTTCTAGTACGAGGCTGAGTAGGGGTGGTGAGAGGGGCATTCTCGAGTTTTACCCAATCTTAGAGGGAAAGCATCTAGCTTCTCACCATTAATTATGTGAACTGTAGGTTTTAGTAGATATTCTTTACCAAGTTGAGGAAGTTCCCCTCCATTCCTAGGTGGCTGAGAATTTGTATCCTGAATATATGGCAGATTTTGTCAATAGCTTAGCATCTATTGACATAAACATTATTTGTTTTCTTTAGCCTATTGATGTGATGTGCTAGATTAATTGCTTTCCCATTGTTGAGCCAGCCTTCCATATGTGGAAAAAATCCCACTTGGTCAGCTTTTAATTTTGATGAAGTTCATTTTGCCCACTTTTCCTTTTGTGGAAAAATTTATGGACACTGCTTTTGGTGTCAAGTCTAAGAACTCTTTGCCTGGCCCTTTATCCCAGAGATTTTGTTTGATTTCTTTCATCAGCATTTTGTAGTTTTTAGCAGGTAAGTCTTGTGCATGCTTGGTTAGATTTTCATGTAAGTATTTCATTTTTTTTTTGAGTCATTGTACATTTTCATTAAGTTTGCATTTTATATTTTCATTAAATTTATATTTATTTTTAAATTTTTTCTTTAGCTAAGACAACAGAAGAGATGATTTATTGTACACATTACATTCAGCCACAACTGAGAACAGAATCAGTCCTGAAAGTCACAGGTTCAGGACAAAGGACCATAGGGGACTGTTTTGGTATGAACAAGGTGGGTCTCTCAAAAGTGGTCGTTGTGATCAGATGGCAATGGATGTTTTAGATCCACTGAGAAAATTCTAGAAAGTAGGTGTGCTGTCCAACAGTTTGTAACAGCATCCCTGGCCTCTGGCTTTCCTTGTTTCTGCTCCTGCGGCTTCATGGATGCACAAGCGAGCGCTTCACTTGGACCTTTGCCTCAACTTCACCTTGTGTATTCGCTTCTTCTACATGTGGTTCATGGCCTGGAGGTTTCCAAGATGGTGCTAATGCTGAGAGCAAATGCACTGTATTTTTTTTTTTTTTTTTGCACTGTATTTTAAATTTTGGTGTCTGCATGTTCATTGCTAACATACAGAAATACAATTGATTTTTGAATGTTTATCTTATATCCTGTGACCTTTCAGAACTCACTTATTAATCCCAAGGGCTTCCTTAGAATTTTCTACATAGACAGTTCTGTCTTCTGCAAATAGTATTATTTCTTCTTCCTGGTCTTTATGCCTTTTACTTGCTTTTTTTTTTACATTATTGTAGTGGCTAGAACTTCCAGCACTATGTTGAGTAGAAGTAGTGATAGTGCACATCCTTGAATTGTTCCCAATCTTGGGGGAGAGCATATCATCTTTTCTCATTAAGTATGATGTTAGCTATAGGGTGTGTGTGTGTGTGTGTGTGTATGTGTTTGTAGATGCTTTTTATTAAGCTGAGAAAGTTTCTTCTATTTGTATTTTTCTGAAAAATTTTTATTATGAATGGGTGTTGAATTTTGCCAAATGGTTTTTCTGCATCGATTAATGTGATTATGGGGTTTTTCTTTTTTAGCTGGTTAATATGTTGGACTAATTGATTTTCAAATACTAAACCAGCCTTGTATCCTTAGAAAAACTTCCACTATGTCATGGTGCATAGTTTTATATATTGTTGAATTCTATTTGCATATTTTGTTAAGGATTTTTGTGTTTATATTCATGAGGGATGTTGGTATATATATTCCTCTATCTATCTATCATCTATCTATCAGTATACATTGACAGTATACATATTGGCTTAATAAAATAGACTGGGAAGTGTTTCTCCTCTTTTGTCTTCTGTAAAAGATTGTGTAGAAGTGGTATCGATTTTTCTTTGAACATTGAGTAGAACTCTCCAGTGAAACTCTGGACCAAGAGATTTAGTTTTTTAGTTTTAAAATTATAAATTCAATTTCCTCAATAGTCAAGAGCTATTCAAAGATCTATTTCATATTGGGTGAGTTGTGGTAGTTTATGTTTTCTGAAGAATTGGTGCGTTTCATCTAAGTTGTCAAATTTAAAGAGTTGTCTGTGGCATCCATTATTTGATGTCTAAACGGTTTGTAGGGATATCCCGTGTCATTCCTGATATTGGTAATTTGTTTTTTTTTTTCTTTTTCTTCTTTTTTCTTTCTTTCCTTCCTTTGACAGTTTTGCTGGAAGTTTTAAAATTTTATTGGTCTTTTCCAAGAACCAGCTCTTGACTTTACTGGTTTTCTCTATTGTTATTCTATTTTCACTGATTTCTGCTCCCATCTTCATTACTTCCTTCTGCTTCGGGTCCACGTTGCTCTTCTTTTTGTAGGTTCTTGAGGCAGTGGCTTAGATTGCTGAGCTGAGCTTTCACCTCTTTTCTCACATATGCATCTAGTGCTATGAATTTCTCTCTTGGGCCTCCTTTGGCTGTGCCCCACAGTGCCAACACTGTCCTCTGTTGATTGTCTTTTTTTCACTCGGTTTGAAATCTTCCTGGTTCCTGGTATGGCAAGTGGTTTTTGGTTGAGACCTGGACATTTCCATGTTGTCAGACTCTCGACCTTGTTCAACCTGTCAGGAAGAGGGGTGCCGTCTCCTTATCGTCAGGTGGGGGCAGAATGCAGGTTCTGTATTTGGCTCCAATTGACATCTGAGGAGGGGGCTCCTCCTCATGCTGGACAGGGGGTGGGAGACTGGGCCCCCACTGGGCCTCCTGTGACATGCCTCTGGCTGGGGGTGTAGGAGTGCATCCTTTCTGCTCCTCCCCTGCCTCTGTTCCCAGCAGGAGGTGGGGGTGGCCTGGTTGCTGCTCTCCATGAGGCCTCCTCCGACAACACCTGGCTGGGAGGGGCATTTGCTACTGCCGGGGGGAGGCGTGGTGTGGGTTCCGGCTCCCCACATGGTCCCCACTGGCCTCATGGGCAGGGGTGCTCATTACATCCTGGTGGGGATACTCAGCCTTCTCTGGCAGCACCTGGAGGGGTCTTTGCTGGCCTGGGTGGGCCCACCCCTTCCCTTACCACATCTTCTGGCTTGACAGTGTGGCTTCTATGTCCCCATTTTTGAGGCAGAGGGAGGAAGCAGGGCCCTCGCTACTGTGCCTTCCTCGGCCTGAGGCCCTGGCCAGGCTGCCTTCTGCTCTCTACCTCTCAGACTTCTCATTCTTGTGCTAGGGATGTGGAGTTTCTAGACGTACGTTGGGCAAGTAGGGAAGTGGAGTTCTACCTCAGTTTTGAATATCATTTACCTAATTTTAAGTTCATGCAATTTTATTTTATTTTATTATTATTTTTTAAAGTAAGCTCTATGCCCAATGTGGGGCTTGAACTCATGACCCTGAGATCAAGAGTTGCACGCTCTACTGACTGAGGCAGCTAGGCACCCCAGAAGTTTGTACAATTTAATTTTTAATAATGGCTGTGTTTAACAAGTGCCTTGTAAATATTCTTGAAAGTTTAGCCCTGGGCTCTCCCAAGCTGGCATGTGTGCCCAGAGCTGTCCATGCAGAAGTCCCACCCATCTTGGGATGATACCACCAGAGCCAAGCCCCTGCCCCCTCCTGGGGAGGCACCTGCTAGGGGCTTGCTGCCCAGGCCAGGAGAGCCAGGGCTCTGGATGTGACCACTGCTCTGCTGGAGGGTACCCTGCCTCTCTCCCCACTCCCAGGCTCTCGGGGCAGAAGGCGGGCCCCACTGGGGATGTGGGGGCAGGAAGCTGCAGGAAGGGATGCGGAGGGCCAGTTACCTTCTCAGTCACCAGTTCTTGCTCTGCAACCTCAGGAGCCAGAAAAAATGTGTCGTAAGTGCCTAAGAGAGAAAAGCCCAAGTTCTGAGTTCTCTTTTCAGCCTTGGGTGTCCGTGCTGGAGCACAGCTCCTAAGGGTGACTCCATGTACGCACCATTGGCAGGGGGTGGGCTGAAGAGCACGGCCCCGTCCTCGGCCACCAGCACAGAGTCCAGGCACAGGTAGGCTGCAAAGGAAGATGAGGGTCAGGGCAGCGGGACTCGCTGGGGTACCCTCTTCTCCCAGAAATTACAGCGTTGGGCAGCCCCTCCCCTCAGCCCACAGACCCCCAGGGAGAAAAGCCCAGGGGCCAGGGGCCAGTCAGTGCCTTCTCCTTCTCAGAGGCCCTGGCGCAGTGCCAGGTGGACAGGGCCGGGGGGGGGGGCCCTCCGCGACACACATCACGCTGGAAATGGAAAGGAGATGAAGGAAGAGGAAGGGGCATGGAGGTCACGGCCCAGCACCGAGAGCTGCCCCTCTGAGGGGTCCCAGAGGAGGCTGCACCCCAAAGGCCTGTGGGGGCAGCCAGATGGCAGCATGTCTCCTCATCGTCCTCCCCAGGATGGGCTCACATCAAGGGGCTGTGGGCCTGTCACACTGTCCAGGGAGCTGCAAACCAGGGCAGTATCTAAAATCCCATCCTCCCCCGGCCACTTTTGCCTCCTTGGGTACGATGTTGTCCCCGTTAAGGGGATGTGGGCCATCCACACAGCTCCCACATCACTCTACAGCAGGGTTGTCTGCCTCAAGGCCCACATTCCAAACACCTGCCCCCACTGTTGCCCCCAGACCCTTGTGGTCCTGAGACCAGAGCAGACACCTCTAGGGCACAGGCGCTCACAGTGGGGACCCAGCCACCTGGCCCCAGGCTGTCCCCGTGGCCCACATGCGCCTGATGGAGGCCACGTGAGGCTGTTGGTCCTGGCCCTGGAACACGTGGTGGTGGGGGGGCAGGCTGAACATGGAACTGCAGGACAAAGCATCACCTGGGTGCTCGCTGTGAGCGCGCAGAGCAGTGAGACACGCGTGGGACAGAGCCCAGAGCTCATACTCCTTGAAGGGCCGGCCCAGCTGGTACAGGAGCTCCTGCAGGGAGACGCCCTGGAGGCAGAAGTCACATCCTAGTGAGAATGGTCCCTGGGGTCAGCTCAGCCCAGCCCACTGGGAAGGTGACAGGGCGGGAACCACTTCAAATAAGGGTGGGATGTGCCTCCCGCACAGCACACTCCTGCGGATGTGGGCTGGCAAAGTCCTCATGTGGCCACGACGGGCTGGGGGGGAGGGAAGGAACCAGAACCCAGTGCACCTGGCAGAAATGTGGGGATAGCAGCATGGAGGCTCCTCAGGAATTCAACAGAAAATCACCATATGATCGGGCGACCCACCTCTGGGGTGAGCCTGAGGGCCTGATGCCGAGTGAAAGAAGCCAGACACGGAAGGACCAGCACTGCGTGCCCCACCTTCGTGAGGTCCCCGGGGCGGGCACTGTCAGAGACGGAGACTAGAGGGTGGGCGCCAGGGCGGGGGAGGGGATGGGGACCGAGCTTCAGTCTGGGAGGATGAGAGTCGTGGGGCTGGAGGGTGGGGCTGGCTGCACAACACGGTGAATGTGCTGGACGCCGCTGAGCTGGGTGCTTGGTGGGGGAGGGCTCATTTTATGTGATGTATATTTTACTCTACCTCACCCTCACCGCCACACACAGAAATTTCCCAGAGTCAGAAGAACGCGCTCAGCTGGAAGGCAGTTCTCCACTTAAAGGCCACGGGAAGAGCTAGGACCACAGCCCCCACACTTGGGACATACAAGTGCATGCTTTAGGGAAGGTTCCCGAGGCACTGTCTCCACCTTGACCCCCCTCATGCCTGGGGTGCAGCAAGCCTGGCTGGAGGCCCATGATCCAGCCCTCCCCAAGCCTCCTGCTACATGTGGGGTTGGAGCAGCCTGCTTTGAAACCAGGACATGCTCTGCAGCAGAGGCCTGGGGGACCTGATCCCCAACAGGCTGTGCCTGGGGTGGGGGGGGTTCTGGGTGGGCCCTGGTCCCATGAGGCCTCTGGGGCAGGGGAGCCTGGTGGTTAAGTAGCTGGGCTCCAGGTCAGCTCTGCCCCTCAGTGGCTGCCCACCCTCCAACAGTGCACAGCGACTCCATGCCTCAGTTTACCCATCTGGAAAGTGGGCTGTTGTGAGGCTGTTGGGTATGGGAAGGTAAGCCCAGTCTAGGGCTGGGGTGTGTGAGGTTTTCCTGCCTCAGTGGCTGGGACCTCTCTACGCACAAGCCAGTATGGATCCAGGAGGCCAGTGGAGACCATGTGAGCTGAGGTGGAGACACATGTGTGTGCACTGGGATCTTCAGGATAGACATTTGTTTTAAAGTAACTAGAGTTTTGGGATGTCTGGGTGGTGCAGTCGGTCAAGCGTCCGACTCCTGATTTCGGCTCAGGTCACGATCCCAGGGTCATGAGATCGAGCCCCGCGTCAGGCTCCCTGCTCAGCTTGGAGCAGGCATCACGTCCAGCGTGAAGCCCAATGCAGAGACTGAACTGACGACCTTGAGACCAAAACCTGAGCTCAGATCAAGAGTCAGATGCTCAACCGACTGTGCCACTGAGGCGCCCCAGTTCCTGACCTTTAAACTCATCAGCAGAATAAGACACTGCAGCCCCTGAGCACGAGGGCTGGGGAACAGAGCCGCAGAGGTAACCCTGCTGGCCTGGGGCTGCCAGGCCTCCTCCTGGGAAGACTGCTCCCTGCACGCAGCAGCATCATTTGGCAAGAACATTAACCCCGAAGCAGGGGTGTGCCTCCTTCAGTGAATGCGTGGGGTGCTACATGCCGGTGAGGCCAGAAGAGGCCTGGGTGTGTGGAGGTGCTCTCTGGGATGCCCCACCTCCAGGGAGGCTGCAGGAGAGGCTCTGGCCTGGGGCCGCACCTGGGGCCGCACCTGTACTCACAGCTTCCTTCAGAAACAGGCAGCTTGCTTAAAACTTGTCAATAACTGAGCAGGAGTGAAGGCTGAGACTCCCTTCCTTGTGGTAAACCACCAGCACTGCGTGTGAGACCACAGACAGGACTGTGTGCGCGTGTGCAGGGCCCCTTCCTGGCCACGTGGGATGGAAACTGCAATCACCCACCTGCTCTCCTGCTGCGCTAGCCGGCTCCCCAGCTCTGTCGGGAGTCCCCTCGTCAGCACTGGAAGTCCTGGGCTCTGGGCCTGCATCTCTGGGGTCCTCGGAGAGGGATGGGGCGCTTCCCTCCACAGGGCTCCAGCCCAGTGCCCCAGATGCCCTGGCCCCGCTTTGGCTGGTGTCTCCAGGTCCTCCCTGCTGGAGCTCGGGCTCCCGCTCTGGCCACAGTCTGGACTTGGGCTGTGACGTGTAGCTGGAAAGGCCATTTTTCCCATCTAGAAAGGCCTTCCTGGGGTCTGGAGGGAAGACTTCAGATTTGGGTGGCTGGTTTTTGGTGGGGGTCAGCGTCAGGCAGAGGGTGCTGGCCTCAGGGCCGTCGGGCAGGAGCCTGGGGAACGTCTGCACCTTCCTCAGGCGGCTCCTCTCCAGGTCACCCAGGGGGCGCTGGGTGTCCAGGATGAGGCTGGCCAGCCGCTCTCCGTTTCTCACAGGGGCTGACAGCAGGGGCTTGGAGGACAGGGTAGCAGGCTGCTCCAGGCTGCCATGGGCTTCACGGGCAGGGCGCTGGGGCAGGCCCTCTGGGTCCGTGGCGTGGCCCCCCGGCTGTTTCCTGGGCCCTGTGCTTCCTGCAGCAGGTCTCCCGCTCCAGCCGCTCTCGGTGACATCTGGGCAAAAGCAAGGTGATTGCTGCAGGGGCAGTGGCCAGGGAACTGAGCCCGGGGTGGGCATCCCTAGCAACGCCACCCGTCACCAGAGGGGATGCGGGCACCTCTCCTGCACTCCTCGGTCCCCTTCTCCTCCCCTCGGTGTCGGCCCAGAACCATCTTCATCTGCCTCCTTTATCGCATAACCCGGCTGATTCTAACTAGTGAGGCTCCAAAGGCTCCTGGGTCCCCTCCACAGCCTGCACGGGCCCCCTCGGAGTCTTCCTAAGGTCATCCAAGCAGCTTGTCCAAAGAGCCTTTGCTTTCTAGTACAAGTACACAGATGACGTCCCCGAAGGAAGACACTGAGTTTGGCTGTCCCCCCCGCCACGTCCTGGCACACAATCTCACACACAGGTGTCTGTGGTCTCCGTGGAGGCCCTTCCTTGTGGCCTGCAGCCCCTCCCGTGGTGATTGCTCTCTGCTGCACGGCGGGAGCCGAGCCTCAGGCCTGTGGTCCCCGGGGTGGTGTGCCGGCGGGCCCTGCTGCCACAAGAGGCTCGTGCGGGCCACCCCTGAGGGGCCTCCGGGCTCCTTGCTGCAGGCACAGTGCAGAGCAGATGCTGACATTTGCTCAAAACGTGACCTGAGACCACGCCAGAGTCCCACGTGAGCCGGGAAAATCCCAGATGCTTCAGCAACAGCTTCTCCAGTGGAGAAGGAATGGGCCTGCCAGACACCACGTGGTGTCAGCAAACAGAAACGAACTGCGCGGTGTCCCCGTGTCCATGCACCGACCTGCTCACAGACCCGGACAGAGACCAGAGGTCTAAGACTTCTCACTTCCCAACACCCCCAGTGGCCCAGGTGTCTGCAAAGTGTGTGCAAGATGACTGAGAGTGAGGGTGAATGTGTCAGTCTGTGAGCATGGCTGCAAAATGGGTTTGTATGTGCAGGACAGTGCTATGTTTGTGCACAAGTGTGCATGCATGTGATGAGTGTGCATGTGTACAAGTAGGTGTGTATGACCTTGCATTTTCATGTATGCTTCTATGACTATGAGCAAGTTAGTATAAACACGTGCGTGCCTGTGGGGGCACACGTGATCTGTTTGCACACGTGTGCATGTGAGTGTGGGTGTTTACACGGTGAGTACAATGGCGTGAATATGTGTGTGTCTGATCTGTGCTAAAGTTTGTGTACATTCACATGCACACGTGAGTGGGTACGTGCCTACATGTGTATATGTGTGCGTGACTGTGTGTGCATGCATGTGTGCAAGCACACATGTGTGCACGTGCTTACCTTGAAATGCTCCAAAGGACTCAATGGAGAGCACCCTCCTCCCGATGGCCGAGAGGCTCCGGCACAGACGGCAGGAGGATGTGAAGAGCATCTTCTCTTCACACAATGCTATGATGCTCTGTAGACACACATGTGAGCAGCTCAGACGGGAAAGCTCACCATGGAGGAAGCCCTGCCCTCTGAGAGCCCACCCCCCTCCATGTCTATTTTCTGGCATAAAAAAGCAATGTATCCTGCAATTACAGAAAACCAGGCGATTCTGTTCAGCCCATGAGAATTATAAGCCAAACCTCTTCATCATAACAATGTATAATGAAAGGTCAAGTTCTTATTTAAGCAAAATGCAATGCCACCAAATCCCAGGTGAAGAGCCCATGGGACCGAGGGGAGAGCTGTTGGGCAGGAGGGTCCTGTGTGTGTGTGTGTGTGTGTGTGTGTGTGTGTGTGTGTGCCCGGGGCACTGGGGCTGTGGGGAGGGTCTCAGGTCTTTGCCTTGGGGGTGACTTTGTACCTCGAGGTCAGGCCGGTCCCTAGGGTCTTCTGCCTGCATCTGGCTCAGCAGCGCCTCCAGGTCTTGGCTCAGCCTGGGCTCCGGCTCGGGCTCAGTCACGTACTCAAGGGCTGCCTTCAGCGTGGCCCCCAGAGAGTAGATGTGAGCCTGTGGCACCCAAAAGACTGTCAGTGCCCTGGAGCACGGCTTCTCCCAACACGGTCTCTGCTCCTCTGGCCAGGAACATGTGTTTTTAGGGACCCCTGCTCTTGACAGTCTGTGCTGGGACAGCCAAGGCAGTGCCTCCCCCAGCACGGTGACTGTGCTGACACTAAGGCAGGGGCCCCATGCTCGTGGGTGGGAGGTCTGCGCTGGCCTTTCTGCACTGACCAGTGCCCTCCCCCCTGGCTTCCGGCTCACCCCAGCCCTGACCCAGGGTGTGCAGATGCTAGGATCCCCACCTGTGATGGCGGCCGTGTCTCTGAAGGGCAGTCTTCTCTTTTTAAGTCTGCATTTCTCTAATTATGAATGAGACTGAGCATCTGTTCATTGCTATTCACGGTTCTAACTTTCCCTCCTTATGCCCATTCATGGGCTTTGCAACATCACCACGCTCTTTCCTGTTTGGGGTGCACCCCTGGCATACTGAGGATCTGACTGCCGGTCTGTGTGCCACACATATGTTCTTTCCATTTGTCACTTAGCTTTTGACGTAGTTCATGCATCTTTTGACATTCAAAAATTCTCATGTTTACTTTGTGAAATCAGACATTTTTTTCTTTAGCTCCTTTTAGGAGGAACTTCCCCACCCCAAGATGATAAAAACAGCTTTCTTTTGTTTCCTCCAATATTTTTATAATTTTTACACAGCCAGCTCTAATCCATTTGAAATTTGTCAGCATGCTGGCAATCTGTAGGGATCTGGGTTTGTTTCCCTCATAGTGGAGAGCAACCCCCAGCAGCATTTAGAGAAGGTTCCACTCTCTGCTGCTGCCCGTCCTGCTGGCTCCCCTGGGACCCTGCGTCCCAGCTGGCCTCGCCTCCTCTAATGCTGGCCCATGTGTCTGTCCTGTCCAGACTGTGCTATTTTAATTATAGTAGCGTCAGAGTGTATTTTCATATCCCGAGGACAAGTTGTCCCTTTTTTTCCCTCAAAAAGTTGGATCATTTTCACATTTATCAGGTTTTAAAAAACAAATATAAGTTCTCCCATTCCCATTCACAAAACAAACCAAAAATGGTTGCAATTTTATTGTAATTGCATTGACACTGCAGAATTTGGGAAGGATCAACTTCTTACAAAATAAAATACTTAGGAAGTCACCAAGATGGGCCAACAGGATGTCCCTGGAACGTGACCCTCAACAGCAATTCAACCTCCACCCACAGCCAAGAGCACCTCCATGGGGGCTGTGGGAGCCAGTGCCTCATGCCAAGGGACCTGGTGGGAGTCTCACCCACCTGTGTGTCAGGTAACAGGCAGACAGACTTCTGTCCTGGCTGTGGACCCTACTGCTGGACTAGCCATGAAAAAAGGACTCAAATTAATAGACTCAGACGTGAAAGAGGAGACATTACAAGTAACACCACAGAAGTATACAGGATCTTAAGAGACTAATAAGGATAATTGCACACCAACAAATTGGATAACCTAGAAAAAAATGGATAAATTCCTGGAAACATACAACCTATCAAGACTGAATCATGAAGAAGTAGAAAATCTGAACAGACCATGAATGGTAAGGAGATTGAATCAGTAATCAAAGACCTCCCAACAAAGAAAAGCCGAGGACCAGATGGTTTCTCTAGTGAATTCTACCAAACATTTGAAGAATTTATACTAATCCTTCTTAAATCTTTCCAGAAAATTGAAGAGGAGGGAACACTTGCAAACTCATTTAGTGAGCCCAGCATTACCCTGATACCAAAGTTAGGTAAGGAACCAAAAGAAAACTATAGAGCAATATCCCTGACGATCACAGATGTAAAAGTTCTCAACAAAACATTAGCAAACTGAATTTAACATCACATCAAAAGGATCATACACCATGGTCAAGTGGGATTTATCCCTGGGATGCAAGGGTGATCCAACAACTGCAAATCAGTCAACGTGATGACTACATTAGTAGAATGAAGGACAAAAATCGTATAATCATCTCAAGAGATGCAGAAAAAGCGCTGGACAAAATTCAACATCTTTCATGATAAAAACTCTCAAGAGATTGGGTATAGAAGGAATACATCTCAGCATAACAAAGGCCACATGTGACAAGCCTCCAGCCAACATAACACTCAATGGTGACCAGGTGAGAACTTTTCCTCTAAGATCAGAACGAGACAAGGGTGCCCACTGTCCCCTCTCCTATCCAACACAGCCCTGAAAGTCCCAGCCAGAGCAATCAAGCAAGAAAAAGAAATAAAATACATCCACATCAGAAGGGAAGAAGTAAAATTGTCTCTATCTGCAGAAAATATGGTCTTACATATAGAAAATCCTAATGACTCTACCAAAACTCTGTTAGAACCAATCAATAAATTCAGTAAAGTTGCAGGACATAAGGGCAATATGAAGAAGTCAGCTATCTTTCTGTACCCTAACAATGAAATATAGGAAAAATAAGTAAAGAAAACAATCCCATTTACAATAGTATCAAAAACAAAAAATATAATTAGGAATAAATGTAACCAAGGAAGTGAAGTTTTGTACATTGAAAAGTTTAAGACTCTAGTGAAAGAAATTAAGGAAGACACAAATACATGGGAAGATATCCCGTGCTCATGGACTGGAAGAATTAGTGTTGTTACAATGTCCATACCACCCAAAGTCACCTCTAGATTGAATGCAATCCCTATCAAAATTCCTGTGGCATTTTTCACAGATATAGAGAGAACAATCCTAAAATTCATATGGAACCACAAAAGACCCCTAAATAGCCAAAGCAATCCTGAGAAAGAAGAACAAAGCTGGAGGCACCACACATCCTGATTTCAAACTGTTTCAAAGCTGTAGTAATGTGAAGAGATGGTACTAGAATAAAAACAGACACATAGACCAATGGAACAGAATTGAGAGCCCAGAAGTAAACTAATGTCTATACAACCAACCAAAGGAGCCAGTAATACTCAATGAGGAAAGGACAGTCTCTTCAATAAATGGTGCTGGGAAAACTGGAAAAGAATGAAATTGGACTATCTTACACCACTTACAAAAATTAACTCAAAATGGACAAAAGACTTAACATAAGGCCCCAGACCATAACTCTCCTAGAAGAAAACATAGGAAAAAGCTCTAAGACATTAGCAGTGATATTTTGGATGTGACACCAAAAGCACAAGCAACAAAAGAAAAAACAAGTAAGTGGGAACGACATCAACTGCCAAACTCTGCACAGCAGAGGAGACAGTCAACACAATGAAAAGGCAACTTATAGAACGGGAGAAAATATTTGTAAACCATCTGTCTCAAAGGGAGTTAATATCCAAAATATATAAGGAACTCCTACAACTCAAGAGCAAAGAAACGATCTGATTAAAAAATGCGCAGAGGAACTGAACAGACATTTTCCCAAAGAAGACATCCAGATGGCCAACCAGACACAGGAAAAGATGCTCAGCATCACTCATCATCAAGGAAATACAAATCAAAACCACAATGAGATGTCGCCTCACACCTGTCAATGGCTGTTATCAAAAAGACAAGAGATAATAAGTGAGAACGAGATAATGGTGAGGATGTGGAGCAATGGGAACCCTCCTACACTGTTGGTGGGAATGCAACCTGGTGCAGCCACTCTGGAAAACAGCACGGAGGATCTTAAAAATAAAAAATAGAATTACCATATTATCCAGCAATTCCACTTCTGGGTACATAGCCAAAGGAAATAAAATCAGGATCTCAAAGAGATATGTGCGCTCCCATGTTCACTGCAGCATTATTTACGAAAGCCAAGATGTGGAAGCAGCCTAAGTGTCTGTCTTTGGATGACGCGGTAAAGAAACGCGGTCTAGAGATACCATGGAGTACGGTTCAGCCACAAGAAAGGAGGGCCCTTGAGGGCATTATGCTGCGTGAAACAAGTCTGACAGAGAAAGACAAATACCGTATGATAGTACTTCTGCATGGAATCTAAAAAAGCTGAATGCTCGGAAACTGTGGAGTGGAGGTTGCCAAGGGCTGGGGGTGGAGGAGACAGGGAGATGCTGGAGAAAGGACCCAGGCCTGCAGTTATGAAATGAGTGAGCTTCTGGCATCTAATGTGTGACTCAGTGACACGGTTAGCGACAATGTACTACATACTTCGAGGTTGTTAGGAGATCCTAAGTGTTCTCACAACCAAAAGAAATAGCGATTGCCCGATGGAGGTGTTAACTAACACTACTAGAAGTGGGAATCATCCTGCAAAACACAAACGTATCCAATCATTAGTTTGTGCACAAACTCACACCATGTGATAGGTCAGTCACGTCTCTGAAGAGGTGGGGTGACGCTCAGGTGCAGGGACAGGTCTGTCTCCTCATCTTCTTGCGTCCTGTTTTCTCATCTTTAGAAAAGTGGTTCACTTTACATTTCTAGCCCTCCTGCTATATTTACTCCAGACTTTCTATAGTTATTGCTATTATAAATGAACCATTTTCCATTTCATCTCTAACGAGTAATTACCAACACAAAAAGAAGCTACTTTTTTTTGGGATGTATCTTGTTTTCAGCTGGCCTCTGAAGTCTCTCTCTTAGATTTCAGGCCCACAAGCTTGTTATCCACAGACAAGGCAATCCTGCCATCCGACCTCACACACCACTCAGTGTTGGTGGGCCACATACATGGTTGAGCCGCACTGGTGACCCCTGAACCCATCCACTCTCTCCATGCCCAAAGCTGGGTCCCTGGGACACTACCCCACCTCTCACAGAAGACACTGGAAGCCCCAGCCCTGGTCTCCATGTGGAGGGCAGCCTGCCCTCCCTTCTCACACTGACCATGCCGATCACACCCCAGGTCCCCTGCCTGGGTCCCCACACAGTCAATATCCACGGCTTCCTGAAGAGGCCAAACTTAAGTCAAGCTGCTGCATGGACTCAGGGCAGATGCCTTGTTTTAGGGACCCTGCTGGCTGCTGATGCTTGGGGTGGAAGGAAAGGCAAACCTTATGAGCCACCACCTGTAGGGCTC